GGTTTTCTTGTCTGCCCTTTCCCTCCCTTTCAGTGTCCATTCTTCTGGAAGGGGTGCTCGGAAAAAGATCTGCCTCCTCCTCAATGATTGAGTTCTGAGTTTTATATGCAGGAAGTAGACACAGGAGACCTAAAAATTGTCAGCAAAAGAGATCATCAAAGAGTAAGCCAAGGACACTGATTTAGTTTTTCTCTTAATGTCAAAATGTCTTCTGTTGACAGGATTCTATCTTGGACATTAAAGTACCAATATTTAAAGGACCTGGAGAGATGCCTGAAATCCGATCTTACATGGAAGAGTTCCCATTCCCATTCTATATCATTCTTCGCGATGTGAACGCACTTCCCGAGACGCTCAGCGATGCTCTCAGGCAGTGGTTTGAGTTGGTGACGGCCTCTGACCACCCGTAGAACAGAAAGAACACAGTCCAAAGTGAGAGGCTTTAAACCATGGTCAGAGTGTCACACTTCTGCCCAGGTGCTCCCTTTTGGACAACTGTTTCTGAACTCGCAGCTCTGAAATACGTTCTTTCATCTTAGATCTGATTTATAAAATTCAGCTACAAAAAACTATAGCAATGTATATTTTATTTTACAATATGATTTCAGAGCCTAAAGAAAGCTCTCAGGCTCCCTCTTTGCCTGGGCTACAGTTCCTGTAACAAACCTGGGGCAGCAAAGGTGCAGCAGCAGCGGGTGTCTGGTCTCATACCTGGGGGAGAGCTGCTCTCGGGCCTGTCTTGGAAGCCTTGGCCTCAGAGGAGGCCGCACCCCACCCTTGGGGCCCAGCTGCCTGCTTTCCCTCACAGGGACCCTGGACCTGGAGATGCTGCCAGGGGCATGGGACTGCCCCAGTCCTTTGGACAAAGGACTAGAGGGAGCTGCCCTTTGACCCTGCTCTAAGGCTCTGCCTTGCCCAGCTCCCAGTGTGTACCCAAAAGCTGTCAAGTGCCTGAGACAGCTGCAGTTTTCTAGAGTGTCTGAGTGTGTTTTTTTTTATTGCGCTTCACGTGAGGGGAACTACCTTCTCTTCAAGGGTAGGAAGCTTGTGGTATGTGTGTTTTCATAAAGCAACCAGACACTAGACATCACGGGATCACAAAAATGATCCTTGTGCTGTATAAAAATGAAGTGGCTTTCCAGTGTCCTTCACATTTGCTGCTTCGGGAGACTATGCAATGATGGAAAGATGATTTTCCCTGTTTATTTCATTCTCTCAGTGCCACAGTCCCTGTTGTTGTAGTAATTTATTTCTTTAGTCCATTTTTTTCTTAACAGTCAAGGGGAAGAATCATTCCTCACGCTGCTTTCAAGTTGGACTGAGCCAGTCTCATTCTGGGAAAGAAATGCTGTGTCCAGAGGAACTAAGCAGCTACATCTATTTTTTTTCCCAGTCAAAATACATCAACGGTTTTTAGGCAGTTTTTACTTGGCCAGAAAGCAGCGCTTGAATACCTGAAACTGTGTGCTTTGTTCTATTTAAGTTCTGACTGTCAGAATGTTCTTTTGTAGACAACATGCCATGATGTAATCATCTATCTCCACATGTGTTATCAAGTTACACTGTGAAGTGTGCCACCCTTTTGAGGTGGTCATCAAAGACACAGATTGCTTGTTTAACCAAGTATCCTAAAGCATGTACCTGAGGTTATATCATCATTATTTTTTATTCTAAAAAGCTATGCAGCTTATATTCTGAAAACTATTAAAAAAAATTTACCATTGTTGATGTAATTATTTGTGACCATTCTTGATGGAATACAACAGAGGAGTGTAAAAGGTATGGTGGGGAATGACCTCATGTGCTGGATCAGCCAGCTGTCACTAGTGCATACTGTGCTAACACGACTCCATGACTTCAGTGGCTTACTACACTAAAAGTTTATTTCTCGCCTGTGTTCATGTCCATGGTGGGTGAGCTGCAACATGCTGGCCTCTTGGCACAGGAAAAAGGGCGAGTTGGTGGAAACACACAAGGGCTCATCAAGATTTTGCTCCAAAATGATGTCTCTTCCAGTCACATTTCATTGGCTAAAGCCCTCTATGGGGAGCAGGAAGTGTAATCTTCCAGCAGGGTTGGGTCTGGTAGGGAAAGACACCAATATGACAGTGATGTGGTCTGTCATATCTGCCTTTAATTGACAAGACCATCTAAACTGGAGCTTCCCAACTGGAGTGCCAAGATGTTGATTCCCTTAGCCCCAGGATAACTCAGGGTCTGGGACAGTAGGAATTCCAGTAAGCGGGTACCCAAGAGTGCCATGTTCAGCTTGTGCTATGATGGGGAAAGGGTTGGGAAGCATATGAGCAGTCACAGGAGACCTACCAGGAACTGATGGGATGGGAGTCAGGTGGACTCTGACCCAAGGTAAGCAGCATGACACGCCTGAGTTATCCAGGATATGCTTGCTCTCTCACTTGGAGCTCAACCTTTGTATCTGCCTTACTTTCCTGTCTTGTCTCCATCCAAACCCCAATCTTGTCTGGTCTAAGCTCTGGACTTTTACCCTATCCTGCCTTCCCTTCTGCTCGCCTCTGACTGCACTGCAGCTCTTTTTTTTTTTGTGAGATCAGCCCTGTGCTAACATCCCCCAATCCTCCTCTTTTTTGCTGAGGAAGACGGCCCTGAGCTAACATCTGTGCCCATCTTCCTCCACTTTATATGGGACGCCGCCACAGCATGGCTTGCCAAGCAGTGCGTCGGGATCCGAACCAGCGAACCCCGGGCCGCCGCAGCGGAGCGCACGCACTTAACCGCTTGCGCCACCGGGCCGGCCCCTGCAGCTCTTTCTTTTAATCCGTAGCCTGGACTACTTCAGTGGTATCCCAGACAAATCACTTTGCTTGCTTCACTTCATCCTACTCATAAAATCTGAGCTCTTTCTATAATTCCTTCAGAGGTCCCTATGCTGAAAAGGGTATTATTCATGCTTCTCAGCATGACCTGACTCTCCTGTCCCTTCTCTCCCAGCATCCCCGTGACACTATTTGGGTCACAGCAAACCACAGAGGTCCTGGAATCTGCCAGCGTTCCATGTGTACTTGTCTGGAATTCTCTTATCTACTTTGCTTTTCTAACAAGCACCTGGCTCAGATAAGCCATCCAGGAAGAATGAGCTCCCACGATAGAACCCTTGACATCATCTGTAATACTACATTAGACTTATATGTCTTCCTGCCCAAAGCTTGAGTCTGAGGACAGGGAGCATATATGACTCATGACAGTTTACCAGTGTCTAGCAGGAGTGACTCTGGACAGGAAGATGAAATAAATAGTGTAAAAATCTGTTCACACATATTAATTTATAAACTCAACACTATCAAAATTTTAATAAAGATCCTGAGATGATCTGGAGGGAAATGATACAGAACATTAATGATAGAAGATTCTTACAAAAAACCACAGGGGAGTAGTCCTGCCAGACAATAAAACATAACATAAAAATTACACACGATACTAGTCCCAGATGAAATAATTCTGAACAGACTATTCAGATCCTAGAAGGATTTACCATATGGGCATCACAAAGCCCAGGAATAGGAATGAATTATTTAATAAATGATGTTGAAATTAGCAGCTGGAAAAGAACTTACATCCACACCACGCCATAAACCAAAATAAATTCTAGATGGAATAAATATTTTAAAAATTGACAATAAAAAAGTAAAGTAGGGGCCAGCCAGGTGGTGTAGCGGTTAGGTGCGCGCAACTCTCCTTTGGCAGCCTGGGGTTTGCAGGTTCGGATCCCAGGCGCACACCAGCACCGCTTGTCAAGCCATGCTGTGGCGGTGTCCCGTATAAAGTAGAGAAGATGGGCACAGATGTTAGCCCAGGGCCAGTCTTCCTCAAGGAAAAAGGGGAGGATTGGCGTCGGATGTTAGCCCAGGGTCAGTCTTCCTCAAGGAAAAAGGGGAGGATTGGCGTCGGATGTTAGCGTAAGGCTAGTCCTCACACACACACACAAAAGTCTCAATCATAAATGGACAAAAGTCATGACAGTACACAAAATAAGTAACTAAAAGTGGCAAGGGATATTTAACTTCACTATTTAAAGAAAACAGCAATGAATTGCTATTGCTAATTAGTAGACAAAACTCGAAAAAAGGGGTCAGGGGGTTAGCATCACTCACAGAATGCCTGGTAATGTTCAAAAAAAGCTAATCATTGGAGTGCTTAAATGTGCCAGGTCCTGTTCTCGGTGCATTATATATAACAGCAACAACTCTGAGGTAGATGCTATTATTTCACTTTACAGAGGAGGAAACAGGTCAGAAGAGGGTCCGCAGCCAGAAGAAAACACCTAGGAACCAGAGCACCAAGGATTCCAACAAGGGGGCAATCAACTAAATGCTCAGCACATGGATAACTGAATGAACGTTTTTGACTGCATTTTAATTCAGAACAATCCTGTTTGGAAAAGGAATATAGCAAAGATTCACTACCCCACTTACAGTAACACAACCTCAGGGCGTGTGGTGTGTGTTGTGGGGAGAGTAAAACAATTATGAGGCAACCACAGCTGAAGGCGTAGGGATGTTCAGTTCCTCCTTATATTAGTATTTTGCATTAGATACTAAATTCTTAAACCCACAATGGGGCAGCCATTTAAAGCCTTGTAACTAACGACAATCATGAAGACTACACCACGCTGGGAAAATGCTTGTGACAGAAAAGAGCAGGACGCAAACTTTAAAAGAAGTTAACATTTAAGTTTTTAGTACTTTTAACTATACACATTTAAACACCTCATAAGGAATACACTAACATAATTTTGCTGTCACCCTCAAAAAACTTTCATTTAATGAAACTTCCATTTAATGAAACCAGGTACCAGGAACTGTGCTGCCTTACCACTCCTATTTCATTATCAAAACAATCTGCGACGCAAGAACTGTTAGCCCGTTTCACCGACAAGAAAACAGGCTAAGACGAGCGAAGCTGCCGAAGCCTAGGAGCCCACAACTGGTTTCAAACCCTCCGGCTTCAGTCCTGACTGGCTGCCCCGCTCGCGAGGCCGGGAATCCGCAGTCCGTCTCCCAGGAAACCGAGATCGCCCCGCCCCCTGGTCGGTCCCCCACTTCCGCTCCTGCGCACTGGGGCTCGAGCGGACCGCGCTGTCTGGAGGACATGGCTACTTCTCGCTTACCCCCAGCGACGCTAACGCTAAAGCAGGTACCAGCTGTTCTCGCCGGCCTTCTAGGGCAGCTTCCCGGGGTTTGAACTGAATTATCCATCTCTCCCTCCTCCCAGTATACGGGGTGGGTCTCGGGGTGACTGGGGCGAGCCCCAGGGGGAAGGAGACGCCAACCCTGCACACCCTCCCTCTGTGATTGGCCTCGGCCGGGGGGCGGTGCTTCCCGCCGCAGGGGCTGACGGGAAGCGGCGAGCAGGGGTTGGGAGCCGCCGTCCAGTCGCGGATTTGGGAGGCGGCCGGGCTCTTGATATCTTGCAGCCGTGATGCGTCAGCGGCACGATGGCCGTGGTCAAGACTGCTCTGCCTGTTGTACTAAGCTATGGTAAAGAGCAAATGAGATACCAAAGAATTTTCACAACTGCGTTAATTTAGAGAAAGTGTTACTATAGTTACAGCGTCTAGGAGACTGTAGCCCTTTTTCTGCCCGGTCGTCAGCGGATTTTAAGGGTTCTTAGGTTTGAGAAGGGAGTAGGCAAACAGCCCAGATAAACTTCTTGCCCTTTGCTTAAAAGAAAAAAGTGTTTTTCTTTGCCCTTTTCAAAATTGAGGACCAAAGGGAAGTCATGGACAGTTCGGTTTGCTGGAGCAGAGCCCTCGGGGCAGTCAGCTGTGCAGGTGTAATTGCCATTTCTCCTCCCCGGCACAGTTCATGAGAAGGCAACAAGTTCTCCTTCTCTACAGAAGGATTTTGCAAGCAATCCGGCAAGTTCCAAATGATTCTGATCGCCAATACCTGAAGGACTGGGCAAGAGAAGAATTCAAAAGAAACAAGAGTGCCACCGAAGAGGTGAGGGGATCATGGTGACGACAGGCCCTGATCCTTTTGTACTGATTGGTGAATTTTTTAAAAAGTTTGGTAGACATCTTGGAATATAAATGTCACTGAGATGGTGTATCTCGATCATTGCTCTTAATGTTACCGATTTTCCACTCAAATGATATTTTAAATTTTATAATCTTTGCTGTTTCTACACTCTGCAGTAGCATAGGCTGACTCTTCTGTTAAACCATGTGTACACACACGACAAGATTATGTTACAGCATGATGGGTTGGGAAGTATGATGATTGGGATGTATGAAGGCACGCCAGATGCTGTGCACCCCTAATTGTCAGCTTTTGGCTTTCCTAATATGCAGCAGTTCCAATTATCAGTACAAGTTTCCTCCACTATCCGAAAGTAGAGCATTCCTGTGAAGCCTTTTGTAAGCCGAAATGGCATAAAGCAAAGAAGCAATTACCCCTAATTTATATGGGAAATATTTTTGAGCATTCCCAGACCCAAAAAAACCCACCAACTCATTCCTAATAACACATAAAAACGAAAATAATGCTAACATATAGTAAAAGCAGGAATGATACGATAAATACATAGCCTATATAAAGTAGAAATAATGTATGTACATTGTAGTTTCACTCAGCAGAATCGGGAAGACAGCAAGCACAGTGGAATGCTGAGAGGTGGTGGTGGTGATGCGGAGTGTTAGGCTGAGTCGTTGGAGGTGGGGTGGTGGGAGGTACAGGAGACTGGGGTGAAGGAGAGAGAGGAAGAGGGTCATCTATTAACATCTCCTCATTGTCTGAATCCATCAGGGCAGGCAGGGCACTAATGTCTACACCTTCTGTGTGTGCCTGCCTCAGTGTCAAAGGTAGGGGTTCATCATCTGTTGTGGCTGATGTGGAGACAGTGTGCTTGACTGCTTAGCCTCTATAGCAGCTCACTGCAAAACAAATGCCGAACACTATTTTTGCTTTTCATCTTTTTCGTAAAAGCTAAAATCCTCTTTGGATTTCTTTCAGTTAGCAAAAACAGTTACTAATGTAGGTCTTTCATAAAGGCGATGTGGCATAAAGTGAACTTTCAGATAGCGGGGGGACCTTCTATTGGTTCTTGACTAACAAATAGAATGATAGAGCTGCACCTTGTTTAACCAGGTGAAACACTGACCAGATTTCACTTTCTCCTACAGGATACAATCCGGATGATGATTACTCAAGGCAATATGCAGCTCAAGGAGTTAGAAAAAACACTTGCTTTAGCCAAATCTTAACTATAGCATTATTTGGAAAGATTTCCAGAGTCTTCATGTGTTTTGTTGAGCTTAGGCTCAACAATGGGCAGCCCAAAGCCAAGTCAAACTGTTTCTCCGTACAGTGCTGGGGCAGATCAGAACATGGAGCATGGCATATCAGAGAGAGCAAAGAAATGAGCATCAGAACAATTGCTTAGCACTGAAAAACATACTGTGTATTTTGAAAATGTTTCTGGATATTTCAGCAGTTTTTTTAAGAAGAAAAATCAGTACAACAGATGGTCAATTAGCACATAAAAAGATGCTCAACACCTTTACTCAGGGAAATGCAAATGAAAACCACCATGAGATACTACTTCACATCCACTAGAATGGCTGCCATTAAAAAGGGAGATAAATGTTGGTGAAGATGTAGAGAAATTGGAACTCTCATACATTGCTGATGGGAATAGAAAATGGTGCAGCCACTTGAGAAAACAGACTGTCAGTTGCTCAAAAGGTTAAACATAGTTAACATTTGATTGAGCAATCCTGCTCCTAGGTTTATAACCAAGAGAACTGAAAACATATGTCTATAAAAAACTTGTACACGAATGTTCATAGCAGCATTATTCATAATAGCCAAAAAGTAGAAACAATCCAAATGCCCATTAACTGATAAATGGTTAAATAAAATGTGGTATATCCATACAATAGAATATTATTTAGCAATAAAAAGGAATGAAATACTAATAAATGCTACACATGGATGAACCTTGAAACCTGTCACAAAAGATCATATATTGTATGATTCCATTTATATGAAATGTCTACAATAGGCAGAAAGATTAGTGGTTGCCTAGGGCTGTGGATGGCATGGAGAGTAATTGTGAATGGATATGGGGTTTCTTTTCTGAGTGATGAAAATGTTCTAAAGTTAGATTGTGGTGTTGCTTGCACAACTCTGTGAATATACTAAAATCCATTGAATCGTACATTTTACACATAGGGTATGTGAATTATATCTCAATAATGCAGAGTTTCTTTTTCTGATTTTTTTTAATTGAGATATAATTAACATATAATGTTGTATAAGCCAATAAAGCTATTTTAAAAAACAGTATGAGATGTAGGATTAGACATATACTGACCTCAGGAGATACCCTGGAACTTTCTTGAAAAATCCTTCTGCATTTCCCCTCAGGGTTGTTGAGGTATATTCTTCAGGCATGTCATAATCTGACACTCAGAGGACTTTCCGAAGACTGGGAATCTAGATCTTTGTTGGAAAGAGAGGAGAAAGAGAAGCTTAATGAACACATTGAGGCACTTACCAAAAAGAGGCAACTTCTGGATAAAACTAATGCAATTACCTGAACATCCACGTAGAAGGAAGTAAAATACATCAATAAGGGTGATCTCAGTGCATTATGTTCTCCTCCAGTGAGAGGAAAAAACAAAGAGTTTGAAGAATGCATCGGAGACACAAGTTGACTTCAGGACATTTTTGCAAGAGACCAGATGTATAACAGTAAATTTAGTGCGAGTGACAGCTGTGGAAGAGGCTGGGATTGGCAGGCCTGCAGACTGAAGGCCTCTCTTGATCTACAGAACAGATCTAACAATTACCGAGAATCTGAACAGCACCTGGAAGATGTAGAAAAAATTCTGCATCATGATAAACGGTATGTAGTACTCAGCTGTGTGCCAGAGGAGGGGCATAAGCTGATGGTGGCATATGTCGATGATCTGCATTGCCAGGGTCCACCCCACCTCCCACAGCCTCAGAGCCCACAAGACAGAATAATTCTGAATGCTCTTCCGCAGGGTAGTGTACTAATTCAAAATGCTTGCGTGAGCCAATTTTCAGATTTTTATATAGATATACATTAGTCAACCTGTTGCAAAGCCATCTGATGAACAGAAGCAGCATTTATGAACAGTTTCTAAACAGAACACTTCTTTGTGTAGCATGATTGACATATCTACTCAAGTATACGCTGTCTCTAGTAAATCTAAAATCTTGAAGCTAAAACCCATCCTTTTATGAGGTGTGGACAGCAGTGACTTTGTGACGTTCTTTCTAGCAGTGGTGTACGTGGAAAACAGAGCATTTGTGGTTTTAGTTTGCAAGTTCAGTTGGGTTTGAGATGCAGAAACCAGACTCCAGGAAAACCTAACTTGGGGTTTTTGTTATTTTGTTTTATAAAAGTGGGTAAAACACTGAAAATTGAATTTTCATCTTCCAGGGGTTAAGATGATTATAATGGACAAGCTTTTCCCTTCATCTCTAAAGAGTTTATTCACTTATCACAAGTCACTGCTTTGATGAGCCCCTCTGAATATAGGCCAAGGCTGTTGTTTAGCCTAAGATTTATTTAGCAGTTTCTTCTCACACATGGACCATGGTCATTAAGATGTCGGCCAGAATAGACCCACTAGTGAAACACATTTTATTCATCATCTTTTTATCAGTATTCTGCATTAAACAACAAATTACTTTTCTGGGTGTTCCCTGCAAATGATACTATATTCACGTTTGAACATTAAAGTTTTGTTCTTAAAGTTTAATTTTAAGATGTTTGAATGTTTGGTTTATGTATTTGAACTACAATAAATTAATCTTTTTATATTAAAAAAATTTTTTAATACAAAAGCTTACGAGCATAGGATAAGTGGCTAAGGCTACTATTTAACATGTTGACTGCCCCTATGTCATTTCCTCTTAAATGTGCCGTCGGTCAGAAGTTTTAAATTCATGGCATAGGCATTACTGTGGATGTGCCTGCAGAGACAGAATAGATAACTTGATTATTTGAGGAAAGCAGAACATATTTATTGTAGTCATACCAGCAGACACTCAGGAAAGGCTGAGAGGCACAGACCCACGCTTACCTAAATTATCTCTGTCTTTTGTGGAATAAGTAAGGAAAATGCTAGAAAAAAACAATTAAGCAGTCACATCTACCTTGAAAAAAACTGGCATTATGTAGAATAAGGTCCAAACAGGATCAAAAGCAAATTGTCACTCTGTGCCAAACCAGAAGTCACCACAGGCTATTTCCTTCAAGTCAGACATCTGAGAAATTGTATTAGGATTAAATTAAATTTACTATTTTTGTTACTAAGAAGAATAAATCACTTTTTACCCACTCTATTTTTTATTAAAAAAGTGCTTTGCTATGCTATCTTATGGATTTAATTCTATTTATAGTCATATTTGATTTAATATTACAGGAAAAGAATAGTTCCCATTAAAGAAAATGACAACTTAAAAGGTATTTTTAATGTTTTTTTCTTATTCATAAGAGGTATTCCAAAAAGGTCATTTTTTAAAACTGGTTTGTCTTAAGTCTTATTTGATTTATTGACTTGTATATCACAAGAAGAAATGTATTTAGCTTTTAGGAACAATTTGTTAGTCAAAAAATGTTATCTTGGCCTGCATACAATTACAAATGATGTTTTGTCCGTCTCCTTTGCACAGTATTTTCCAAAAAGGTCAACAGTTACAGCAAAACATTTGTTTAAGCTTGCACTGAGAAATATTTCCATGTTAGTGTTTTTTTTTTTTATTTTTTTATGCCGTGCACCTGATCTCTACTTTAAAGCAGATGTATTTACTCTAAGTTACACTTTTATCGAAACAAGGTGAAGTGTGGCCAGGTGAAGGCGCTCTTTCAGAAACCATAAAATTTGGTCAGCTACACAAATGAAAATGCAAGCTAAACAAAGTATTTACATTCATTTTTTAAATAAGGAATTTAACATCCATAGTGTTGAGAACCATGTTTAATGCTTGGAAGAGACACAAATGCAAAGTGATAAAAATACTAAATAGAAGCCAACACACCTCTCAAGAATCAGTACTTAAAAAAAAAAAAAGGTATAAACAAAAACATCACTTCCTTTATTTTGGGCTCCCAAAGTCACAAGTAAGATTAGAACTAATATTCAGTCTATCACAGATATTTACTATACTCAATGCAATAATGCACTAACAATTTCTTTAAAAAAAACACTGCAATATTGTACAACTTTTTTGTGTGTCACATCATTTTTCCCACAGCTACTCAAAGTTCCAATCTCATTTCAAATATGACCTACATGACAGCCTATAAAGTGTTAGTTCTGCTTCTTTGGAAAAGTACTATTGTGGCATTTGCTCATTTTAGCAGATAGCAAAGGGAAAAGTAAGGAAAAATACACATTGGACCTGTAGTTGAGTTTTTGACAATGCTAAGGAACAAAAACAGATCAAACACAGTTGTTGAAAAAAAGCTATTGCATTGGTCTTGAGATGCTGCCATCTCTTTGGGTTGGGAGGCTGACTGATCCTGCTCTATTTCCTTGCCTCTATTGGTTTTCCTTTCTATGAGAAAGAGAGAGAAGATCCACGTAATCTGCCAGACTAGGTGCATCTGACCTTGCTCATTCCTCCCTGAGTCTCTTCCCTACCTGTGACGTGGACCAGAATATCCAGTTCACAAGGATAACCTGCTTGCTTTTGATGGGTAGGAGTTAGTTACATCATCAAACTACTTCCCACCAAAGCACTCTATGGTCTAGATAAATTAAAATTTGTTTTCAGCATTTCTCAACAAGGATACCCCTTGAGGTAACAGGAGATATTTTGATAAGTAAAAATAACTCCTGCTTGGAACACAACTTCCTAGACATTTTAGGATTTCATGTCTTCTTTGAGTATTAGGCAGCTCTCAATAACCTGATGTATATTGAGGAATGATTCTAAAGCAGTCAGCGATGCCTCCTTTGGAATAGATTTAGAAAACCGAAGGCACCCTCTACCTCTGCAATTCTGTGGTTCTGCGTTAGCATCAGAGAGAAATGAGAAGAGGCAAGTGCCTCTACGTTTAGCAATCCAACAGGGGCCTCTGGGGAAGAACTGTCTACCTACACAGCAGTTGAGAACAGGACAAGCTTACAGAAGCGAAAAACTTGAGAGAACATCAAATTAATCCCCTGCCCAGGTTCTGTAATGGTGACGTACATCTACGTTTATTAGGAATGTCTATATCCATAGACTAGACTGTCAGTATTAAACAAAACCAAACCAAAAACAACTATGAGCATGATAAGTGAAAAACAAAGGGCCTAACACATACTTAGTTTTTCTGGGTGTTCCCATGTCGATAAGTCATGATTTTCTCTTTGGCTCAGTGAGCAACATTTTATTCAAAATTATAGACAATAGTTACTTGGTTCCTGTGTTTACAGTAATAGAACTGAGGTTTCTATGCATACATGGAATTTTGAGATGACTATAATCCCACATTCCAAGGGACAAGAAGCTTAGAAGATAATTAAATCCAATTTTTCAACACACCCAATTTTTCAACACACCCAAGCTACTTGTAAAACTTGGTGTACTCCAGAGGGCAGAGTAAAATCCTTAGGGCTCCGTGAGGCTGGGGAATTGTGGGGTCTAAATCAAATTACTGAATTATTTACCTTGACATAGGCACTGCAAAGCAGTGGAAAGCTTCTGAGGTTCTTCAATGACAGAACTCAATTAAAAATAAAATACTTTCAAGAAATAGCCTTCTTTCTTTATAAAATGTAGACCAGTAAGCTCAAATTCAGAAAGGTACTCTAAGATAATTGGGCTTGAATACAAATAGGTTACAGAAGTTTCAAGTAATTGTTACGTGAATGTTTTCCATTAATCTGTTTTAAAAATCACTAGGATTAATCGATTGTAGTATTTCTGTACTTTGGCTGAAAATAGATGAAAAACCATGATCAAATGATTTGAACCTCTCTCATTTGAGTTCATTATTAACAAACATTCCCAGTGGTGGTGGCCAATTACTCATTACTCAAATACACTCTGACGTTGCAAAACATTTTAAGATATACTGGATCTTGTGACATCATGAAAATCTCTTTCTCCTCAAAATCTGTTTGATAAGTTTTCACCTGGGTAAAATGCAGGCATTTTGAGAGAGAGAGGGTTGAGCGCACATCTCAGTTACAGCTCTCTGACAGAGGACACTCTTGTCTAGGCACGGCAGGTGTGTTTATATGAATAACTACTTGACTTGAGTTCACAAGGGATTAACTTTTTTCTTGCTTTTGATTTATATTATTTCATACGTCCTGAATTTTAGGGTTTAGGCTTACACATCATTCAGTTTCTTAGTGTGGCTCCCTTAATCTGAGCTTTTGAACTTCAGATGAACCTGGACTGAGGTTTTGAGTTTGTAATGAAACCTGAAACTAAGCAAGCTTCCCCTGGTTTCAGTTTAATTGTTGAAGTCTTCATAACTTCAGGGCATAGGAAGTGTGTGTGTGGCACATTTTAGAAATTAGTTTTTTTGTTTTTTGTTTTTTTTTAAAGGCAAGTCTGCTATGTGCACAATAATTGACACCTTGGGCATAGCTATTCTGCAGTTGCAAAACCAGAAATCCCCGAGAATCCTTTCTGGTGCCACTTCCCAGTCCTAATTTTCCTTCTGCACCTTAGTCCTTAGTTTAGCAAGTTCCTCTTCTAAACTTTTGATATGTTCCTGCAGTGTGGCCTTGTCTTGCTGGGCTTTCTGACTGGCTTGGCTTCGTGCTTCTTCAATCTTCCTTTCATACCACTTTTCCATCTGGGTAGAAACAGCCTCAAAAAAATACTGGGTAATCTCGAGAGCTTGGGAGGTGTCTCGAATGTGTGGGGCAGTCTGCTCACTGCCTGCTGCTGGTGGGGGCTGCCCACCACCGGTGCTGGGTCCCGGCTGTTGGGCTCGATGCCTTGTCTGCCCACTTTTCCCAGACTTCTTGGTTTGGGTGCCTCTGTCAACGCAGGGCCCAGCCTGCTGATCACATTTGGCTGCCTCTTTCAGGGGTAGCAAGGCTGTCTGGACCTTGACATTCCTCAGTCGGGAGCCTGTACAGTCCGAGGAAGACAGCTCCTGCTGGAGTCGGTGGGTAGCAGTGGAGTTGAGGGCCTTTTCCTTAGGCCTAACCACCTGAGGGGAACTGTCAGAAGCTGCTACTGGACCTGCAGTCACCACTGATTGATCCACACCTAGTTTCAGAAAAAAAACTCAAGTCAGAGCAAGTCCACATTCACACAGTCCATGGCTGTGGGTCAGCATCTGACAGTCCTGGGAATCCTGTAAACCGTCAGCCTCCCAATCACCAACCATGTGCACCTTCTCCTCTGCCCATCCCTTCCACTTCTCCCAATTATCATTTTGGCTTGTCAGGGCTTTCATGGATACTGTGTTAGCCACACTGGTAGCATCTAAGCCAAAAAGGTGGCTGGCCTTTCCTTTAGCCTGTCTCAATCTATCTAGAAGGCTCTGGGTACCATTTTCTGGTTGCTAAGGATGACACAGCTCACCAGGTGTCTCAAAACAGAACTGGGCATTTATCGATGAGAATGAATATCCCCATTCTCTAATTTCTGGGCCCTTTCCACACCACAGCTCCACTTACTAGTTCCTTGACCCAAGCTCCACTTTGGAGAAGTGGTCCTATTCCCCATACCCAGAGCTCCAGCCAAGCTCCATAACTAGTCCCAGCATGAAAAATTTGCCTAGGAATTTTCCCCATGTTGTGGGCACAAAGAAGATAAAAACCACAGTTCCAGAGATGGTCTGTAGTAACCTAAAACACTTGACATATCAAAATCCCCATGGAGGCCTAATTACTAAGGCTCCACATGTCCTCAAAATTATCATCATCAAGTGTACTCATTGTGGCCGATGTCAAGATGCTTTGCTGGAAGCATCCCTTATCTAGCACCTGGGGAAGCTTCAATGTATGAACTGCTGTTTAATGAGGTTTTACAGCGTTGGACAAAGGTAAAAGGCCGATCAAGGAGGAGAAAGGGGAAAGAGGCACAAGGGCGAGAGCCCTGCTGAGGAGACAGATGTCCATCCATCACCCTCATCTTTGGGGTCCACTCTGACACCATCAACATTGTACCTGAAGCACTGCTATCATGATCAATAATTCTTTCATTCCTGCATTCAAATATTTTTGAACACTTAAATAGGAGTGCTCTATTGCTGTATACGAACTGAGTATTCAGTAGTAAGCAAAGCATGGTCCTTGCCCCTATAGAGTTTCCCCTGCAGTCCAGTGTTTTTCACAGCCCTATCATACAGGCTGCCTTTGGGTACAGGAGAGAGTAATATCTGGGGGTTTCATCACCTCTGGGTGGAATGGCTCTCTCTGCAAGTGGGTTACCTGTGGAGGATTCACAAGTGGATGGTGTGGATTTAGCCCTAGAGGCCCTAGAATCTCCAGAAAGCTTCAGCTCCAGACTCTGAATCTTTAACATGCACCAGGTTTTTAATTCATCCACCAAGGACATCTAAAAAACACACAAAATAATCAGGAGAATTTCATACATGGTTTTATGAATTAAAGCATCAAGAACAGACTTTTCAATCATGATAGTTGAGGATACCATCTTGACAAGCCCAAAAATTGTGATTACCCGCCCCAGCCCACACGGCCTTCTCTGCTTGTCCTCCATAGACCAGGTTCACCTAGCACCCGAGTTGACAGCTATCTATAATCTCCATTAAGTGACCTAGAGCCACCTAAAACTCAAACACCCAAAGCTTTCCAAGTTTTCCAAACCAAGCATTTCTGGCTGCTTAGGAGCACGAACCCTCACACACTCACAAGTACTCATTTTATGTCTCTCATCTTGGGTGGATCATAAACTCCCTGAGGGCAGGAACCAATCTTGTTCAGCAACAGAGGAATGGCCCAACAAACGCACAATACATAGAACTGACTCGGCAGAGAGCACAGCGTCCCCAGCATGTTCTATACACTGTTTGGTCTCCACCGACTGCCAGCATATTCAGCAACACACATGAACTGAACTACGGGTTCTCTTCTATTAACTTCATTTCAGAGTTATAAATATGACATGCTATGTGAGGCAAACACCTTTAGGGGCTCTCAGCCTCTGAGTTTTCAACGATGGGGCTGAGTCTTTCACCCAGTGGAGACGTGGTAAATCACAGGCAAGGACTGGCGGAGGCCGATCCTCACCTGTCGCTTCTCTCCCTCGTGCTTCTCCGTGTCCGAGTGCTGCTGCAGGCGGGCCAGGCACTCCGCTCTCTCTGCCGAGAGCCGCTCAACCATCAGCTTGTCCAGAACACGCATCTAGGATTCAACGGGTAGAGAGCGCACGACTGAGATGTCTAAGGACAGGCCCTGGTCTCTCGACTCCTGAGGAGGGGTCTGGGGTACCGCACAGGGACCAGAGAGGATGCAGGCAAACCTCAACTCTTCATTCTGTTCTCTTCTCATATAGTATTCATGGGACTCTAGGTTTTCAGAATTCTGGAGCATGTTTCTATGCAGCCCAATGTTTCTTTCTTTTTCTCATTTGTTAAAGTTTAAGGGGTTTGTGAGACTATGAATACACTTGAGCCAATGCAGACCTTGTAGGTAAAAGAGAATTTTTATAGGTCTCAGAACATTATTTCCAAGATTATTATTGAAAGGAAACACTATTTCTAAAAGCATGGAGCTCTTCTGTCTCCCTTTCTAATTACTTTTTTTATCCCCCCACCCCCACTTAAATGTTAGTGGCTGCGAAGAGGCAGTGAAAGAAGCTGACACTGGGGCTTCCATCCAGCTCTCCCAGTGAACAAACCCTCTCGGGGCTCCACTGAAGGGAGTCAAAGCAAGAGTGAGGACGGGAGTGGGAAGAGGTCAAAGGGAGCACTTCATTCAGAGCACAAACGACTGTTACCTTTCAGTCACCTGCCCTCCTGGGACCCCCTTCATCGGGACATTTCCTGTAGGGCCCTAACACCCAGCAGGGCCGAACTTGCACTGCTTTGACAAGGTCCAAAGAAGAGAAAGGGACTGTTGTCAGCGGGAGCTCCTCTCCTGTCAGGGAGACACACGACCTTCCACACTCCGCATGTTCCAAAACCATCAGTTCTGGGGATGTGGGGAGCACCTTCTGCTGTGTCTCTTCAGTCCTCATGCTTTCCTGTGAGCTGCTCTCCTCCTGTTTCTACGACTGGCCTGCTCCCCCACCTCCTTATCACCTACAGAGATGCTCTACCAAGAGCCACTGCACTGATGCACGGCTTTGTTCCCCGGGCACGTTGACTGGTTTAGGCCTGAGCACCTGACTCATGCTGGGCAGAGTCCTTTCCCTGCAATTTGGAATTAGGACTAAGATTCTAGACCCCGGTCACCTTCCTTGAACTGAAGTGAGGTCCCGGAGATATCCCAGCATTCATCTAATACATTCCTCTCTGGGCTTAGGCTAGCTCAAGTGGGTTTTTATTCACAGAACAGTCAAGTAATATATTATGGCTCTAAGAAAAGATTTCTTAAATGGGCTGTCCACAAAATTCAAATAGCAAATAAACCTTAAAAATGTTCGACTTCACCAACAAACAAGGAAAATTAAACAATTAAATGTCCGGAATCAACTTGGCAAAAACTTAGAAAATGATAACATTAAATGATGGCAAAGGTTCAAGACAGAAACTTCAGACACTGCTGGTAGGATATAAATTGGTAAAACCTTTCTATTTATCAAGAGCCTTAAACATATTCTTAATTTTGGACCCAATTATCCTAATTGTGAGCAAATAACCTGAGAAGCAATCAAAAGTTTATGCACATAAATGTTCATCATAGCATCACTTACAAGAGTGAAAAACTGTAAGCAACTTTAAAGTCTAATAAAAAGGAATGGTTAAATAAACTATGCTGTATTAATACGCTGGAATATTATGAAGCCCAAGATATGAGGAAATGCTCATGATATAAAATTAAGTGAAAAAAAGCAAAATTGTATACCTCCATACACAGGAATAAGTACACCACCATTAAAAAGCACACCATAGCTCAATGTGTCTAAGATATATAACTAAATTTAAAAGTAAGCTGGAAAAAAAAAAAAAAAAAAAGAGTAAATAACAAGCTATAATCTGCAAATAATTAGGGCCGGCCCTGTGGCTTGGTGGTTAAGTGCACGCGCTGCGATGCTGGTGGCCCGGGTTCGGATCCCGGGTGCGCATCGAGGCACCACTTCTCCGTCCATCCTGAGGCCGAGTCCCACATACAGCAACTAGAAGGATGTGCAGCTATGACATACAACTATCTGCTGGGGCTTTGGGGGGAAAAATAAAATAAATAAAATCTTAAAAAAAAAAAAAATAAATAAAAAAAAATAAAAGTAAGCTGGAAAAAAAATAAAAAGCACAGCATAGTTTCATTTTTGTTTACAAGTGATAATTCTATAGGTTACTATCTATAAAAGAGAAAACCTAGGGGAAAATACACCAAACCAGGAATGGAAGGGGATTCTCTGGGAAGAGTCACTACGATCCATATTTCTGTAATGTGGAATGTTTTTCCAATGAACATGTATTATTTTGTAAGTTTTTTTAAAGTTTTCTTTGTATTTACAAATCTATATCCATCATACATTTCTTATTAATTACAAGAGGAAAATGTACCTTTACAGTGGAGAGAGATGGTGGTTACCAGCTTACCAAGTGACCAAACTTAGCATCATTGAGACATCCTAACATTACATGCCTCCTGATGCGATGTGATCTGAAGTTTACACCATTAACTATGAAGTATTCTTGCCAAAAATATTTAACATGAACGTAAATAAGCATCTAGACCAATGGTTCTCAAACTCTAGGTGCACCAGCATCACCTGGACATCTTGTTAAAATACAGGTAGCTAGACCCCACCACCTGAGTTTTATTCACAGTTAAATTCAGTAGATCTGGAATGAGGCCCAAGAATTTGCACGTTTTTCCCCCACAAGTCTCCAGATGATGCTGATACTACTGGTCCAGAGATGACACTTTTGAGAACCACTGCTCTAGACCTTTCAGTTCACAGAAACGCAGGGATAGAGGAACAAGTTAAGTAACACCATGAAGAAACTATCAGACACACCCAGAATATAGAACATCCTATAAAGCAACTGGCCTGGACTTTTTAAAAGTTAACATCATAGGAGAAAACAAGAGTTGGAAGAAGGAATTGGAGACTGTTCTAGATTAAAAGAGACCACAGAGATAACACAAATGCACAAAAGATTCACTGGATCCTGGGCTGGGATTAAAAACAGAAACTGCTCTAAAAAACATTTTGGGAGAATTGAGAAAATCTGAATATGGACTGAATATTATGCAATTATAGTTAATTTCCTTGCATGTGATAACGGTATTGTGTCATGAAGGAGGAAGTCCTTATTCTTAGTCAATGCGCTCTGAAGTATTTAGGGGTGTCGCATCAGGACATCAGCAACTGAATCTCAAACAGTTCAGCGAGAGGAAAAAAGTGTATGTGAGAGACTCATAAAGCAGATGTGGCAACAAATTAACAGTCGGAGGGTATCCCAGCATTCATTATACTATTATTTTAACTTTTCTCTATATTTGAAATTTTTCAAAACAAAAAGTTGGGAAAAGAAAATAAAAAACTATAGACATGATCACTCTAATTTTGTGTGCAATGGAAATATAGAGCACACAGACATATAAAAAGATGGGAAGAAAATAAATCCAAATATTATTAGTGCTTTTTCATCAAGGTAGACTTACAGGTGATTTATTTTCCTTTCCAATTTTCAGATTTTTAAAAATGCTCTGTAATGAGTATATATTACTTTTGTAATCTGAAGCAATTTTAACATGTTCTTAAAAAATTTAAATGGACGGGCTTTAAGGCATAAGCAGGCTCCTCCCTGACCGCCCACTGGCACGCTCCGGGCCGGGTGCAGGCGGAAGGGGGTGCCGAGGTCTCCCTCTGCTCTCATTTTCTGCCAGAGCACCTGGAAATTAGGAGGCTGGGTGACTGGCTTACCTGGTGCTGGGTCTTACTCTCCACATGCCCCAGCTTTGTATTCATTTTATCCTGAACCGACCCCAGCTCTGCTCTGATCTCCTCCACAGTCGCCTCCAGCTGGTTCTCCAGCTTGTTGATTAGAGGTTCACATCGACAACCATCTATTGGTGCCTGAGAGGGAAACAAAAAGGAATCAGTCCAACTCATTCGATCCTTCAACAAATCAGTTGTGAGTACCCATCATGTGCCAGTCCGTACACCAGGGAGAAAGAGATGGAGGAGACCGACTTCTCCCTGGCATAACTCTGGAATCGCCGGTAGGCCAGGCTTGGGTCCAGTGGGCGCTAAGAAGATTCAGAGAGGGTAAGATATGGTCCCAACCCTCAAGCTGATTTTCTCCACTCTGGGGCCTCAACATTATCTAGTCCCCTAAGGATAGTGCAGAAAGCTTTGTAACTACCCCCGTTTGCCTGGGCCTAGATGACAGGAGGGTATCTGCACTGTTCAGGTGGGGAGGGCCATCTGGCTTATCTTCAAGGCTCATGCCTTCTTAAGTCAAGGCCTAAAGTGGATATTAGCCCCCAGGAACAGTGTTTAACAGACAACCTTGCTCAAGGCCTGTGGTCCCACGTCCTGACAGGCTCGGCAGGTACCTGCATCACCTTCCCGTCCTTGCCCCGGTACAGCGTGTAGAGCTGGTATGCTCTAAACTCGTGCGGAGGAGGTGGGGGGGAACATCGATGCCTGGGCCTCTTTTTAGGGTGATTGTGAGCGTGCAAGTTCTTCTGGTGTCCAGGCTGTTGGTCTGCTGGTGGGGTGGGGTCAGAAAATGCTGACACCTGTGGGAGAGGAAGAGCCGACACCCCTGAGCACTGTGACATCGGTAAGACTGACTCCCAGCCAATGGCTCCCATATCACCCACTTGTGGGCAAAGAACCCCGCCTCGCTTTGTCTCCTGGCGGTCTACCCCAAGCACCACGTGAAAAGAAATCTATCAGCACACTAACCTTGTGTCTGCAGTTAGCCAGATTTAATCCCTGTGCTCTCGCTCCAGACCAGCAAGCCGAGTGAAGTGGCCTTGTAGCTGCTGGGCACGAGCCATCCCGGGGCCCTCTGCCACCCTGCCTCCCAGCCCTCCGGCGGCTTTCACGTGCCTCCTGACCTTGGGCCTTGACTTTCTCTGCCTGTTGTCCTTTGCTCTGGGCTCCGGGGAGGCTGGCAGGAAATCTTCTCTAGCCTCTTCTTTTCTGGGCACAGCCTGTTCACTGCTAGGGGTGTCTCCTGCTGAGACACTTCCCTACAGAGAAAAAAAGCCCAGAAACTTGTTCTACTTGCCCCCTCGGCCTTTTTCAATAATGCTGTAAAATTCTGTTTGCAAGACTCCATCCACTAATGGACCCACGGAAATCCTTGCCAATGACAAGCTTGGTGGTCTTAACCTAACGTGTATGCTTCTCTCGGTCGGCTGAATATTTGGCTTTTACTTTATCTATTAGGTGCCAAACTAAATATAGTCTTGAGTCTAATTCTATGTTCTAGAACTTCAGGAACCTACCATACACAAAACACCTCAGCAGTAGAGATTTCAGTCTTTTGCGTTCAACACAAAACCACCCCCCTCATTCTTTGAATGTGGACCCTCACAATTCATAGCAGAGTGAGAACCTGCTCAAATGAAATGAAAAAACACCACATTTCTGGTCCTTGTGAGAACTTCTACAAATATGTACAATTCACACACAGGAACTTAATTAGAGTTATAGTGCCTTAACCCTGGAGGTTGATAAGCAGACAGAAGAGCAAGTACTTGGTATAAAATTTTATGTGCCAAAAGTTGTCTCTATATCCTAGTTGTCTTCCTCCTGGGAGAGCTGAAAGGCATGGCTCATTCCAGGGCTGCTGTGTATAGCTGTGCAAGCTGTTCACTGCACAAGGGCACCTAGCCGAGGAGGCTGAGTAAGGCAGAGGGAGTGAAATCCAGCTCCGGCTCCATTCACCATATGTGCCCTGTGCTGGGCTGCTCTGCCCAGGGGGCATCATCTTCTAATTTGCACAAAGGAGGCCTATGGGCCAACACAGCCTCAGTCCATTCCCTAAGAGGAAGAGAGGAAGCAACCCATGCCAGTGGTTCTTCGACTTCAGTCCACATCAGAATCACCTCGAGAGCTTGTTCAAACAGATTGCTGAGCCCCACCCCAGAGTTTCTGATCCAGTGGGTCTGAGGAGAGGCTCTCAATTTTGCATTTCTAACAAGGTCCCAGATGACACAGTGGATACCACACTTTGAAAACCACTGCTCTACACAATTAAGAGGATGATGTGAGCATGATGTGGAGCAGGGCTGTCCACATGGTAGTGACAAGGCCACAGATACATGGGGCTAGTAAATTTACCCACACCAGGGTGCGATCTGAAATCTTGGAGGAGTGGAGGACAGGAAGCCAAAGGGAAAAGACTGACAACAGTTTGAAGACCCCGGTGGAAAGGAGAAACAGAAGAGGGCATGGTGGCCGCCAGATGAACCCAGAGGAAGCCAGGCGATCGATTCCCACCCTCTGTGCGTGGGCGGAGTTGGGAAGGGGCGGGAAGGCTACCCCCCACCTTGCTTTGTGCCACCTCATCTCTTGGCACAGACTGAGCTCTCCTCTCTTCCTTGAGCCTTTCTCTCTTTTTCCTCAGGCTTCGCCCTCGACTGAAGCGCAAGACCTGAAGGAGGCAAGAGGCATGATTACAAACCACTGGGGTGCGCAGCATCAGTGTGAGAGGACTCTCCTCGGACCTGGCGCTCTGACCTAACGGAACTTCCAGCCCAGTGGAAGAGACCAAGCATTACATCAAACAAGCATGTCTGGACCACCTGCTGTGCCTCCCAGGTCTTGTGCTGGGCACTACAGGGACCCAGAGATGGATAGGACATTGTCCCTGACCTCACGGAGCTTACAGTCTATGACAGTAGCAGTAACAGGCATTTACGTGCCAGGCAAGGGCCGCTATGTAGGTGTGTGCAGGCTGTGCACTGCTTAACTTCAGGGAGCACCATTCACATTGACTAGGATATGAGTGGCATCACCTGGAGTTGTGCAGTGTGGCAGCCCTATGCCAGGCACAGTCTCATATCTTGGTACACTGGACCCAAACTAGCCCATCAGATTTTCTCTGGCCAAACTGCATCAAATCATATTCAATTTGATTCTAACATTATTGAGGTCCATCTGTGAGCCATGGTACCAACCATGGGGCAGGAATTTCCTTCCCAAAAGGAAGCATAGGAAGCATTTGGTCTACCCCTTAGAGTGCAGAGAGGTGGAACGGACACAGGCCAGTACATGTGGGGTCCGACAGACTGAGACTGGAACCCAGCAGCAGCTAGCTACAGGATCTTCGGGCAACTTCTGTGACCTCTCTGTGCTCTGTATTCTCAAGTGTGAAAATGGGGAGTTGTTGGGCTTAACTGAGACAAAGTAGGCAGCTGGCACACCTTGGACCGTCAGTCACTGTCGGGTGCCTCCCACCCGCCTTGCTGCCTTAGAGCTGCTTAAGTGGCAGAGGATGTTTAAGCAGAGTATAGATCGTTGAGCTGGTGGAAACCTTCAGTCTCTGGCCCAGCTCCATACCCTTCCCCCAGCCCCCTATTCCTAGTTCAAGGGTTCACCCTCTTTAACCAAGGAGGCCCAGAAGGTGAAAACACTTTTTCAAGGTCACACTATCTTTCTGCAATAAAACAACATTTTATTGTCTTCTTATATAGATAGGTAAGTGCTCTCTGAAGTTCAGCATAGTGGTTTTCATCTCAGTGTCCAACTTTCTTCTTCTTGGGTTCATTAGATTCAAGTGACATGATTATATGACAAAAAGAACCTCTACAGGCAGTGGGTACCACCTAAATGGAAAATTCCTGACAATATCTGCCTGTGGCTGAACCCAATTTTTAAAGCGTATTCTCATCCCCTAAGCCAACAGGTCTGAAAGTGTCCAGGCACCCCTAGGTCCGTTATTTTCATAATGTTACACTGTTGGCCTTTTCACTCTCCTTCTCTCATGAGTGTACAGTGGTGTTCACCAGGAGCTGCATAAGAGACACTGCAGTGGACTGCAGGCGGAAATCAGTGAGAATCCTGCTACCTTCTTCTAAGTAAGACAGTAAGGAGATTTGCAAAACTGCAAAATGATGCTACTCTTCTCAATTTTTGTTTTGAAAAATAGTTCTTCTTCACAAAACGATGCTATTTATGTTAACAGAAAATGACCTTATTTTTAAATGAATAAACATCTTTAACATTCCTCAACTTTAATTTCAAATCTGCTAACTATTGATAAATATAACTCACAGAAACAAAGCTCTTTCTAGGCCTCTGTATTATTTAAGAATGTAAAAAGGTCCTTAGACCAAAAAGCCTGAGAACCACTGTCCTAAGTCATTTCTAAAACTAAATTCAGACTCAACAGGAAGTCAAGTCTGATAAAAGAAGTGACTAGGACCTGTTGCCCATTTGGTTTATGGACTCAGAACAGGGTACAGCACCATAATCAACCTGAAATTCACTTTTAGAAGCATTTGTAAACCATACCAATTAAAAATGAGAAGTGACACTGAGAGGTCACCCAAACCCCAAATAATCATCAGAAAAATTCCCTCCAGAGACCATGTTATTAGCCAGTGAAAATAACTCTGCACAGCTTATAGCCTTTCTCAGCGAACCATACCATCTACCAAATGGAATGTCATCAATCTTTTCCAGTTCACAGAAATCAGGGAATATTGATCGTAAGGTCTCAGAAGGAAGTATTCTCTTAGTACTGCTGTGAGCTGTGGTCAATTAAGGTGCCAAGGTGAGGGAATTTCTCATTTCAGACAAAAACAGTAAGGCTATTTCTGTAACTACAGAACAACAGAACAGCATGCATGCAATTTTATGCATATTCCAAAGTTCCTTCTTTGTGTTGAGTAAATAGGGTTTAGCATGTACAATCATGTAAAATAAACTTTCATAAAATGTCATCCTATTTATTTGCTATTCAATATGGGTGTGGAAAAACTTGCTTAAGTCATTTTTCAATAGAAACACTTAAGGAAAACCGCGTAGGAAAATGGTCCACAGTAAAGCTTTTGCCCTATGAATTCAGATCCTTGGGCTCTGGAAGACAAACGACAGGTGGGTTAAAGGCACATAGTCTTTGTGTGCCTGGAGGATACTCCACCCATAAGGTTTGATGATCTTCACATGGCCGAGAACAGGGCTGGCTGTCCATCAAACTGCCAAATGCTGAAATGCCAGGTAACTGTGATGGATTCTGACATTTATACAGCATCCTATACTTTCTGATCCATAAGAGACCAGCATTTTTCTATCAGGATGATTCCATTGATGATCTGTTTGCAAATCCGTGGAGAGAGGTGGAGCCTTTTCCCGGAGGAGCCCCTGACTGGCGCCTGTCTGGGGCTCCATGACTTCCAGAGGCCACTGAGAAGGACCAACTCCACGGGCAAGAGGGTGATCAATTTTGCAAAAGACAAAAATCTTAACCATTTCCAGAAACTGCTAGTTATATCAGGCAGGTTTTTAAAACTTCAATAAAGTAAAGGCCATGCAGAACCCTGGGCTGACAGGGACTGGGTTATAATGCAGCAGGCTGGTGTCCAGAACCTTCCTCTGGCTCCCTGACACTCTGTCTTCTCACCACCTTAGCCAGAATAAGGTGGAAAACCAGTGTTTGCTGTAATGTAATACAGAATACCTCCAATAGGGAAATAAATGTCCAACATTAAGGAAATGGTTTAACAAAATATTGGACAGCAACAAAAAAAGAATACTATGCTTCTGTTATGATGAATAATCGTGAAGAGTGCAGAACATTTTCCTACTATAGTTAGGATAAAGGGCAGAATACAAAAGGGTATATACATTGTAGGCACAATTATATAAAAATCGTATGTCTGTGGAAGGTAATATGAAGAAAAAAACAGTTATTTCAGGGTGCTAAAATTATAAGTAGCTTATAAATTATCATTATTAAATGTCTTTATTGTTATTTAGATAATTTCAACCTCAACTCAAATGATATCAGTCATCTTTTAAAAATAATGGCCAAAATACCATTACTCAATAAAAAAGGAAAGAAAGCTATACTATACTTAACCGTCTCTAGTTGACATTTACTGCTTTGTCTGCCCAGAATGGACCCCCCCACCCCAACCTTTCCCTAGGAAATGCCCCCTCTAACCACATGGTCAGATGGATGCAGCCATCTTCTTAAAGCCCCTGTCCTACTTGTTCAGGGCATTTGCCCCAAGCTTGCCAATCAGGACCCTCTCCTGTGATGTATTCAACTGGAACTTCTTCCCTGGCTGAGTACCTGGGGAGTTATGCCCCAGGAAGCTGGTAGTGACAATGATCCAGCCACAGGGAGGAAGTGATGCCCATGTATGAAGAGCAGCCTGCTGGACCTGAAGTCTTTGGTTCTGGTTATCCTGAATGGAGGCCCACATGAATTCCTATATTTTCCACTGCCTGGTCAGTAAGCCCGTCAGTTCCCTATTTAAGTTAGTTTGAATTGGCTTCAGTAGGTTGCAACAAGAGAGTCCCAACAACTTTGCGGCCCCACATAATCAATACAATGGAAAATGCAATAGATCCTACCTGGGGAGCTTTAGTGAGGAGAAGAGCAACTTCCGGGTTATTGTGGTAGCGGGCAGTCTCCAGCGGAGTCTGGCCTGCCTAAGGGACAGGGGAGGACAGGTGAGTAAGGGACACCAACCCTGCACACACGTTACCCAACTAGGACAAGAACCCTGCACTCAGTGACACCAGCACCCACACATGCTCAACAAAACACAACCACATGGATGACATGGCCCTGCTCTTGAGCCTCATCCCAGCCAACGAGGGAGCCAAGTAACACCTGAGGACACGGCGATTAACAACACACAGCAACAGAGGGTGAGTGCTGGCCGAGTGAGCAATAAGCGCTCTAGGAGGCAAAGATCTGGGGCACTGCCCACCGAGGAATGCTTCCCGGAAAAGAGATGAGGGAAGGTAAAAATCAAGGTCCCAGGGTCAAAGTGGAAGAGTTCAGTTGAGGAAACAACACAAAGGATCATAAAATCCAGCCCAGCAAGGAATTTTCCCTAAAAAATAATGGAGAAGACACCTAGAAGGGGAGATCAGGGCCCAGCCACAGAGTCTCAGGAACCAGACTGTGAAAAACAATTAGGAAGCTATGGCCACAACAGAGGCTCTACGGAAATGAAGCCAAAAACCAGGAGTTGACAGCAGTGGGATTCAAAGGAAGGGAAAGGTATTCAAGGCACCATGGGAGGCGTACCATGATGCACCACCAAATATAGGTACTAGAGCTGAGAGGAGGAAGAAGAGGAACTAGATGCAGGAGCCTGTGCAAGGTTCCACACCCCCCAACTCTTTAGATACTCCACACAACTGTTCCGCCCCCAGTCCCCTCTGAGTCTGTGCTATTTCAGGAGGGCAGACCCACAGGTCAGCCTCGAGGAAGAAAGGGTGCCTAGGCTGGTACCTGCAGGATCTGGGAGAGAGAGGGAGGGGATATTGAGAGAGAGAAAGGAGGAGTAAGATAAGGTGATTCTGGAGAGAAAAGAGAGTTTTGAGGATGATTAATCTGATGGCCATGGGGCCATTTTTCTCAGGACCACATCTGTTTACAGGCCTGGAACTCACTTACTCATCTACTCATCAGTTTACTTAGACAGCCCTGATCTTCCTTTTCATGCCAGGAAGTGCTCACTTGAGGTAGCAGTCTAAAGATGAGCCCTCAGGGCCTGTCAACTCACGGGGCTGCTAAGAGCAAGGGATCCCTCAAGTCCACCCCTGAGGACCGCAGCGCTGCCGGCTTTTACCAGAACTCGACACTCTTACAGAGTGAGGCTGGAGAAGCTATGTGCCCTGGGAGGAGTCTGCAGGAGGTGAGGTAGTAACAGTACCCCTCTTTCTGGAAAGGGGTGGGAACGCCTTTAGAATCCATTGTTGCAACTCAACTTACATTATTAACAATGGTCCCATCTGCTCCAGCTTCCAGTAAGATTTTAACCACCTTCTTGTGATTCAGGGCAGCAGCAATATGCAGTGCTGTGTCTCCAGCCTGAAATTAATCAGAAGAAAGCCTGCTAGACCCCATCTGATCATGGTCCCCAACCCTCCGGCTTTTCATCCCATGCTCTGGTGGTGGCTTTTCAAAGTCAATCTAAGATTTGCCTTAGACAGATAGAGAGCCCTTGCTCAAGTGTTATGTGGTTCTTTTTAGAGAGATCTTGGAACTAAATGACCCATACACAAATATCACATTCCTTTCTGACTGGGGACACCAGAAACCACAGGATTAAGTGTGGGGAGCAAAGTAATGCTGGGCTGGGATTGTTGAGAACAGTGAGACTTGAAGCCTGACACCATGGCAGGATGATGGGCAGGTAGGCAGGGGACGGCAGGCTAGCCATCCAGGAGCTCTGGACCATGCCCCTCTGTGGCAAGGGAGAGGGCAGAGACCCCTTGGTTTCTGAGAGCTAGAATGAGCAGAAGCTGCAGAAGATGGCTGCTCCTACAGGCACCAGAGGATAGTATCCCAGCCCCACAGCCCTTCGGGGATGTGAAGGGGCCGCTGGGACTCATGCGGCAGGTCTGGGTGATCTTTGTTTCCACAGAGTCACTGAGAATCGGTCTTCACTTGAGACCAGCCGTTTTCCACCTCTTACCAAATAGCCTAAGTTTTCATATTTTCTTTAGACAAAAATGTTTTCAGACAGTCAGCTATGAAAGGAGGATATGGACAAATGCAGTTTGATGGGCCAATTCCAAATGCAAGTGCTGGGTTTATTTCCCCAAACAGAATGATACATATAAATCAGGCTAATATAGAAGTGAAATAATCCATTCTCTCTCATCAGTGATCAGGTAAAGCACTCTGATCCTTCGTTTCCTGGGGAGCATGAAAACCCAGCCATCCCCATGGCCCTCTTCCCCCAGAGAAGGGCCGGGGGGAAGTCTGTTTCACTGCGTCACTTAGTCGTGTGTGGTGGGGAAGCTCTGCACCAGTGGTTTCCAATCTTGGCTGCACCCTGGAATCAGCTGGGGAGCTCTAAGAACTACTGATGCCAGGGCCCCACTCCCAGACATTCTGATCTAATTGGTCTGGAGTGTGGGTTGGGCATGGTGATTTTTCAAAGCTCCCAGGTGACGGAAACATGCTGCCCAGGTTGAGAAGCACTGGTTAGTGGGGGCTGTGTGAGGGTAATCTGAGGAACCAGAATCCACTGGAAGGCTGTAGAATGACAGAATTTGGCTATTTAGCCAGGTCAGAGGGTCTCAATCCTATCTGCACACTCAGGCCAGGAGCTTTTTAAAACTCCCATTACCTGGATGTTCTGGTCATTTAAACTTGGGTGGGATTCAGAATTGGTATTTTTAATTCCCCTATTGACTCTTATACGCAGCTAGGGTCTGAAACCGCCATATATTTAATCTGAACAACAATCTTTTTTAAGTTTCAGATATATGCACCCAAACTCAGAAAAGTCAAACAATGCATCACTTAAGTATCAATAAATATGAAGACTTTTAAAAATCTAAGTGACTACTGAAAATCATGCACATTTCCATGGAACACTTATATAATCACAGCTTTATTTCAAAACTCCACTATATGGGATAGATACAGATCATGTACCCAATTTTACAGAAACCAGAGACTGCATCAGCTCAAATAAAGTGGCAGTGCAAGGAAGAGAACTGGGGGAGTCATGAGATACCTAATTCCCTGGCTTATTTACAAAGCCACACTCTTCCTTGTGAGTATCCTTTGTAAAACCATATTACAAATAAAACCTGCCCCAGGATCTCCAGAAAATGTTCAATATGCAAATGTGGTGATATGCAGTGGGATGATAAGGGCAGGCTTTCTCCAGGAGGCCAGATAAACCGGAGCCACAGGAACTCAGTGGAACACCCAGACCGGGAGAGGCTCCCAGCAGCCCCTGCCACCGTCTGGGCTAACACACCCGTCAGCTGGCCCTGCGGGGAGGGGCCCGGTGGCCACGGGGAGAACACATGCACTGACCTGGTTCTTTTCATGGACAGAACAGAAAGCACTGAGGAGGAGCTTAATGACGGACAAGTGATTATAGCGCGCGGCAACGTGCAAACAGGTGTCGCCTGCCTGCGGACAGAAATCAAACTCTAAGCAGTCTGAGCCGTTACAAAACAAAACAGACAGTAAAAAGGATATATCACTTAAAAGCTGGCAGACTAGCATGTATTCCTCAGAGGGCATCGGCCTGAATTACAAGCGTCTCCTTTACCACAGATGCTCCACTCCAAGACTCACAGCCGGTTGTCTGCAGCCCTGCTCATTTTCCGCTATGCAGACTCGCTGCTTTCAGGTTTCGTATGCTGGATGCCTGCTCCCATGAGACTGTCACAAGAGCTAAGGCAGGCTCGGCTCAGCTAGGACTGGGTAAGAATCCACTGCCCCCAGCCTCCCCTACAACCCCCAGGCTCTGGACTATTTAAGACCAACAGCACCGCTTTGGAAACGAGCCTTCCCGTCATAGATCCATCGTGGCTGAAAGGACAGGGCAGCAGGGTGAGCTGTCGGATTTTAAGATCACGTGTTCTAAAAGATTCACATTGCATCCCATTTTAGCAGAACCCCAATATCCCATATGGAGCAATGTAGCCTGGAGAGCTGATGAAGAGGCAATCACTGGGAGCAAAAAAGGGTGTTCACAAACCCTCAGGATCAGGATCTTCCTTAGTGCGCACGGGCCAAACTGCTCCCAAAGAGACAATAAAACCGGAGGCAGAAAGTCGTGACGTTCTGCGGTGTTCTCCTGACGTTTTCATTCTAGCTCGGTCTAGAGATGTGACCAGTCAGCATAACCTCTCCCCTGGACTGAAAAGGAGCCAAGCTCAAAGCTGAGGTTCAGGGCATTCTGAGAACCACCTTAGGTGAGTCTGCCCCCACTCAGGGAGATCCCAGCTGAGACCATTTTTGAGAGAAGCCTCAGTCAGATGCTCTTGTCAGGTGGCTGAGGCATGGGATTTATAAAGGAAATGCAGCTTCCTGTGGAGGGCTCAGGTCCGGCTTCCTCTAAGAATACTGACCCGTCAGCTCATCCCAAGGATGCCTCAGTAATCACTTTGTAGGTGCTGGGCACGGAGCATCAGAAGACCTCCCCGCATGGCATCAGCCAATTTTGCCAACAGTACAACACTCTATGTAGGTGGAGACTTTAAAACACTTAGAGGTTTCTTAGACGCATTTGCCAGACACATGCTCTAAGAAATGATAAACCAACTGAGGTGGAGGAACAAGGGGAAAAGGATGGGAGAAAAGCGGTGTTTGAGTCTTAATTCCTTTTCTCATGCCCCTTAGAAATGACCCCTTCGGAAATTAGCAAAAAATGAATATAGATAGTCCCCAAACACTTTACATTTTTATTTTCTAGATGTTAATACTCAAGTATGCTGAGGGTTATTTTCCAATGTGACGAGAGAGCGCGAGAGAAGGCGGTTTCATTCACCCACATTATTTTTGAGGTCGGCGCGGGAGCCACCCAGCAGGAGGACGCGTGTGCTCTGGGAGTGGCTGTTCTGGCAGGCCAGGTGCAGAGCCGTGTTCCCCGCCTTGGAGAGAGGCAAGAGAAGGGAGGAGACGTTAGCACACGCTTCTCCACAGACCTGCACCAGGCAGGCCTTGCCGAGGGGCAATACTCACAGAAAAAAAAGTCACTGCTCACACTCTCTGCTTCCCGATGGGCGGTCCCCAGCAAGGGTGCTTCAGAGGCAAGAACATTTAATTTGGAATCCAAACAGGCAGAAGAGTCACATCTGTCATAAAACCTTGCTTCCAGGTCCTGGCTCTGCCACTTACTAGCTGAAAGCCACTGGCCAAGGCTCTTAAGTAAATTCTCAGCCTTGAATTCCTTACCTGTGAAGTGGAGCGAGACCCCTACAGCCTGAGGCTGTGAGGAGTGGTTCAGAGTGCCAAGGAGAGCGTTTTCTTAATGGCAAAATGCTGTGCACACGCACGGCGTCCTATTCCTCTTAGAGAGGACTGCATCCTTCCCACACATGATCGCTGTGGCTACAGTGCTCCACCAGTGGAGCAGAGACAAAAACAGGCCACTTTCTGCATGAGTAGGCTCAAGGGACCTGGGATGACCTTGTACGCCTTTTTCAGATGTTGTATTTTTCTGGAAACATCAAAACTTGAACTCCAGACAAGGTCCCCACATAAAAGGCAATACAAGTGCAGCTGTCACTTACTATACAGATAGAGACCCTCCTGCTTCCTCGGATTCTACCTTCAACACGCCACGTCAAAATGATAACCAAGGGTCGGAGCAGCGCCAACAGCAATCTTGCAGAAAGAATTCACGACACAGAACTTTTTGAAACTGTGGGAACAGGGCCTGCAAGGCTGCTGCTAACCCGTAGACAAGTAACGAGAACAGCAGGAACACAAGGAACTCGGGCGGCAGTCTGAGCGCCTGAGAGCCCTCGGGAGGTTAACGCCTAAGCTCAGTGTTGGTTCTGCTGCGCTGAAAAGCTGGGTCAGGGCCGCACTCACCTGGGCTCTGTGCTATTACACACCCTCTTTACGGCTTTCCCTCACCTCGTTTACTCCTGCTGGACCTCGCGGCACTGTCTGCCGTACTCAACGATGTTATAGTCCTCACCTTTTGAAAGGAGGAATGAGGTTTTTCTTTTTTAAAAAAAGAGGAGGGCCAGCCCCATGGCTTAGCGGTTAAGTGCGCACGCTCCGCTGCTGGCGGCCTGGGTTCGGATCCCGGGCGCGCACCGACGCACCGCTTCTCCGGCCATGCTGAGGCCGCGTCCCATGTACAGCAACTAGAAGGATGTGCAACTATGACATACAACCATTTACTGGGGCTTTGCGGGGGCAGGATTGGCAATAGATGTTAGCTCAGAGCCGGTCTTCCTCAGCAAAAAAAGGAGGATTAGCACGGATGTTAGCTCAGGGCTGACCTTCCTCACAAAAAAAAAAAAAAGAGGAACACTGTATGTCGCTGGTTCACTTACCTCCCCTCTCATAACCTAACTCTAACCAGCCTGGTAGAGTCTTTCTTCCTCCCTGGTACCTCCAAGAACCAGTTATAAGCCTGCGAGTTTAGTGAGTTCAATGGTTATCAACCGTCACTGCACATTAGAATCACCTGAGGGAGACTTAAACATACCCGTGCACAGCTGCAACCTTTCTAAGGGACTCTGATTTACTCAGCCTGGGGGTGGGGTCTGGGCTGTTCTGGTTTTAGCACTAGAAGTCCCACATTCTGGGAAACCCCTCAGTCCAGGGCAAACCAGGACAGCTGGTCACCCTAGGCCTGGTCATCAGAGTGGGTTTATTTTTCCTGTTTTTTGTTGTCTAAAGTTTCCCAGGAGATTGTAAAGCGCAGCCAGGTAGAGAACCATTGTTATCTTAGTTCACAAAAACAAAGGATCTGCCCATGTTTTAATCACTCCATTCCCTGTGAAAGGGCTCAGTGCTCAGCTTGGTGTAATTCTCACTGCACACAGAGCAGGTTGTCTCAAAGTTATTTGCTTCGTGGGAGTCATTATGTGTTGAATAAATGAGTGAAATAAAAGAAACCTGATGGCTCTAGGAATATATCATTCCAAAATTTATTTTGCCAATAAGAAAATATCAATTATGCTGAAAAGCATTTGGATCAAGAAAAAGAAGAACTATGGGTTTGAATAAACAAATCATGGTACATCCATACAATATAATACTACTCACCAATAAAAAGGAATAAACTAGTCACACACGTAACAACATGGAGGAATCTCAAAAACATTATGCTAAGTAAAAGAAGTCAGACACAAAAGGCTACATACTACATGATTCCATTTAGATGACATTCTGGGAAAGGCTAAATAGATTGGGGTTGCCAGGGGCTGGGAGTGGGTGGGTGAGGAATTATATACCTAAGTATACCTAAGTAAGATAGTATACCTAAGTAGTATACCTAAGAGGGCTGAACTTTACTGTACAAATTATAGCTCAAAACCTAAAATAAAAAGATGTGACCTAAGTAGATACACGTAGCAGGCATTTCCCCACCCCCCCACCCGCCTAAGTAGTGAGTACTGATTTCTAAGACGGGGGCTGTTATATTCACTGCGTAAGCAGGACCTTTCTTACACAATGGGATATTATTCATCTTTAAAAAAAATAATAAATCCTGTCATTTGCAACAACATGGATGAACCTAGAGGGCATTATGCTAAGTAAATAAGCCAGACAAAGACAAATACTGTATGGTATCACTTATATGTGGAATCTTGGGGGAAAAAAAATCAGACTCACAGAGTAGAAAAGTGGTTTCCAGGGGCTGGGACGTGCGGAAATAGGGAGAGGTTGGTAAAAGGGTACAAACTTTCAGTTATAAGATGAATAAGGTCTGAGGATCTACTGTGTAACATGGTGACTATAGTTGATAAAACTGTATTGTATAATTGAAATTTGCTAAGAGAGCAGAACTTAAATGTTCTCACCAAAAAAAATAAAAAGGAAAATATGTGAGTTGATGGAAACCAATGAGGGAAATCCTTTCACAACATATACATATATCAAATCATCACATCGTACACTTTACATATCTTACAATTTTATTTGTCAATTATACCTCAATAAAGCTGGGGGGGAAAAAAAAAGAAAGACCTTTCTAGAGGCTTCCCAGAGGCTGCGGCTGGAGCAGAACATAGAAGTTCCTCTTCTGGGACGGCCCCTCACCTGTGCTTCCAACAGCCTCTGCTGTTTTATCTAGAGAGAGAACTTGTGGCTTTCCACAATACCCCTGGGACCCTGCACAGGTCAGGAGGCAGTGTGGTGGAGCAGACAGACCCAGGCTGGTTTATGGCCCTAACTGTGTCACAAACAAATCATGTGTCTTGGTCAAGACCCTCCTGGCTCCCGGCTTAGGCTTCCCTATCCATTAACTGGGAGCCACCTACTTCTCAGAGTTGGTATAAACTTACCAACTCATGTTCCAGACATGTACCACTTTGAAGAAATGGAGCAGCCACCAGCTGCCAGGCAGTGAGCCAGGCTTTAGTGGAGACATTACGATGCATGGCTTGCTTCTTTCCCTCAAGCTTCTGACTCGTGAAGGAACCACGAGAAACATTTAACATTAAATGACAGCAAGTGCCGTGGGAGCGCTGCAGGAAACAGCCCGAAGGGCCTTTTGGGGAGGGAGAGGCCCTGCCTGGGGACTGGGTTGGAGGCCCACAGGCAGAAACGAGGAGCTGGCCACCTCTAAGGGGGAGGCGACAGTGAGCCCACCCTGATAGCGCAGGAGGCACATGCCGGGAAAGGCACAGGGAAGAGGCTGAGGCCACTCTGTGGAGGCCCCGAGATGGCGTCAGGCCGAGGAGCTTTAGCGGAAGGTTTCTGAGCAGAGGAGGAGCAGGACGGAGAAGGGACTAGGCAAGCTGGTCAATCAGCTGTGAGGCTTCTGGAATACTCCAGGGATGCATTATGAGCATTAATGAATACTCCAGGACATATTAATAATGAGCACGGAAGGAGAGGGAGCGATGCAAGAGATAATACATGATGAGTGACCGGAGAGGGGAGAAGAAATGCTATTGTCCTTTGCCTGTCCCCTGAGGACCGGGCTGGCTTGCTAACTACACTCTAATTAACCATCGGAAAGCAGTGGGAGTGAGGAGTTCAAAGGGAGTCCAAGCCACCACACAGATAATGTTCACTGAGGAGTCTCGAGCTATCGTTTCGCCGGACTCTTGCTCTGCGCAGAGAGGAGGCTCCCGGGGGGGAAGGAAGCCCAGCCACCCTCACCTGTGATGGAGGAGTTCTAGCACCTGCCGGGCCTCACCTTGTTCTTGGCAAGCACGTTGGCTCCTGCTTTAACGAGCAGCTTGGCTGACTGGCTGAAGCCGTGCCAGGATGCCTCGTGCAGGGCCGTATTCCCGTCCTGAGGAATGCACACAGGGAGAGAAAGCACGTTACCCAAGACCTAGTTCATCTCATGGTAACCAGTACATTGTGTGTATTTTTAGGGCACCACAGGGCCTTCTCAACTGGGGTTTCTTCTCTGAACCACAGAACCCAGAAAATGACCTGAGTAGCCAGTTTCTCTGTTCTCCCACATACGGTACAACAAGCACGGTTCTAGATTCAAGACGTACAATGGACACCCAAGGCATCAGAGCTAAGGCTGTCTGAAACCCCGGTTGAGAAAGGCTCCAGGGCCCATGCACAGCTCACATGAACAGAAAGCAACATCAGGACAGCATGATGTCCATTCCTGCCCACCTCTATCGCCCCTTGGGGTCTGCTCTGCTCTACTCCTGGCCCCAGAGAGAACCCTGCCAAGGGCGGGCAAATGAAGGGTCTAGCGTCATAAGTTCCAGGGGCCCAAGGGCCAGATAGGTAGATCCCCCACTCCTTTTTCCTTCTTTCCCCACATTTAATCTCACCCAGCTTAATCCAAAAGCCTCCAGGCCCCAAATTGTACTTAACTGCAAAGTTCCATGTTTTAAGATTGTTTGACAATTTAAAAAGAATGAATTAGGGGCCGGCCTCGTGGCTTAGCGGTTAAGTGCGCGCACTCCGCTACTGGCGGCCCTGGTTCAGATCCCGGGCGCACACTGATGCACTGCTTCTCCGGCCATGCTGAGGCCGCGTCCCACATACAGCAACTAGAAGGATGTGCAACTATGACATACAACTATCTACTGGGGCTTTGGGGAAAAAAAAGGAGGAGGATTGGCAATAGATGTTAGCTCAGAGCCGGTCTTCCTCAGCAAAAAGAGGAGGATTAGCATGGATGTTAGCTCAGGGCTGATCTTCCTCACACACACAAAAAAATAAATAATAATAAAAAGAATGAATTATATAACAGTGGGATTTCTTAAAGAGTTGATTGTGCTTCTTTTTTTCTTCCAATGTAGTTTAAATAAATTAACCCATTCATCTAAAAAAAAAAAATGGAGACAAAGTCTGGGGCACAAGCCTTCCCCCATCCAGGCCTCCACGGGTCATTACTTCTGGAGTTTTTTTCTTTACCATTAATATTTATGTACTTGCCCACTGCTGCCACACAAAGGGGAAAGGATTAAAAACAAAATACAGTTTGCTGGGATCTCAGATGCTCTTCAAAGGAAATTCGGGCTGATTTCATCATGTTAAATCATGAGTGGTAAGACTTAGGAATGAGAGCATCTGAAACACTCCACAGTCCCCAGAGCCGAGCCTCAGGCTGACACGTCCCGCTCACCTTGTCTTGTCGGTCCAGGGCACAGCCCTCCTGGATGAGCGCCGCGATGACCTCCGTGTTCCCCACCACCGTGGCCCGGTGCAAGGCCGTCTGATCCCCCTGCAGAGAGAGGCGGAGGCAGGCATAGATGTCAGCTCTCCCGGCCCCACTCACTCAACCCTCCACTCTGACACAAGGACATCTCTGGACCCACACGGGGCAGAATGGTCTCCCTAGGCGAGGCGGGCTTTTTGGTCTCGTTAGTAGACAGTGTGTGCCGAGCGGAGCAATTGTGTTCACAAACTCAGTGGGAACCTTAAGCCAACGCCAGAACAGCCCTGGGCCGCAAAGCTGACCTCAGAATGAGGGTCAGGCCCTCACTGGCTGCCCCGGGGGATGGCAGTGCTCAGCGGTACGGGGACTGTCACGTCTGTGAAAAGCGGGTCTGAGAGCTGGACTGTGTGTACTATGCAATTAAACCAGCAATGCCTGGAATCTTTACTCCCCACCGAGTCTTCTAGGCCCTGCTTTCAGAGGATCACTCTCCAGCTATGTCAGTTAGCAGCACTCATGATTCGATGACAGGTGTATAATTTGTTGATGGACTTATACTGGCCAAGAGCATGTAGGGTTTACATTATGTCATCTGAGGACTCCAGGGGCTGCCCGTTATCGCTGTAGATCTCTAAGAAGCCTCTTCTGACACTTCAAGACAACACCCTCACTGATTTATGCTGCATTTGACCCTTTCTCTGTGATCAGATTCCTGGCATTCCCGACCTTCTCTTTTTCCGTCAGGGCGCCAAAGGGAACTTGACTCTTTCCCCTCACTACCGTTGCGAGGAGGACTAAATGCTCCTAGAGGTAAGATGGTCAAGACTGTAACGAGAGTTCTGAAGTCTAAGAGCACAGCTTATCTCTGACATGTGCTCTGGAAGTCAAGTTGAGACAAATCAAGTCCAGCCTCAAAGGGGAGATGGGTGAAGAGTGTAGGGCAGGGAGTCAGGAGATGTGAATCATGCACAGCCTTGGGAGACACCTGTCACCTCACTGAGCCTCAGGGTCTTCACCTCTGAAAGGAGGGGTGCATGATCCCCAAGGTCTGTCCCTGCCCTTCTTGGGTTCTATGATTTGGTTGGTAAGAATTCTGCATAAACAAAGTTTCCTGGTGGAACACCAGAGGGACAAAGGACACACTCTGGGGTATCCCCAGTCCTTAGTCCAAGAGAGGAAAGAGAGATGATTATAAGACAGAACACATGGAGATTTTTTAAAGAGAGATGCACTGCTACCTATAAATAGCCTTAATGAAACGCTGATTCTACTTGCTAAACTCCCTGGAATCTGTAACAAACCACAATGCACATTAAAAGCACTTAGTCTGAAAAACAGTTCTGGAGATAGATGGTGGTGACGGCTGCACAACAATGTAAATGTACTTAATGCCACTGAACTGTATGGTTAAAATGGCAAATTTTGTGTTTTATACATTTTATCACAATAAAAAAAGCAATTAATGCTATTTAAAACGCAAATTCTTAAAATTAAAAAATTTTAAGGGGAAGTGATTTTTATTTGTTTCCTTAGACTTTTTAATACTTTCCAACTTTTTATATTTAACATGTAATTTTTAGCATCAGGAAAAATTCTATTTATTAAAGTCTAAGCTGTAACAATATACCAGTAACAGAACTGTCCGTGTCTCAGAATCTTTTCTCACTGTTCATTCGCAGAATTTAAGGGATTTCCGCAGTGATGGCTCAGGATGTCCAGGCCCATTACCACGATTCATCCACTGTCCACAGCATTTCTATCACCAGCCCTCCCCTCGCAGCCTAGGCTATTATTCTCATTAGAAATTAGGTTTAGACTTGGTTTTCTTTTCATCCACCTTCCCAGACCCCTTATTCAAAGTGGTCATGTGCCATGCACATGCCCCTCAGGCGCCAGGCAGTCAAAAGAACGTGGCCTCTGGACCAGTGGTTGCAGGAGGTGTGCCAAGCCGTTACATGTCCATTTCAAACATCTCAGGAAGTGTTTCCAGATGAAGTACACTTAATATCCAAATAGGTGATCATACAAGAAACTGTCCTCCTTAACTTTTTAAAACTTCTATAAGAATTTCCAAGACTGTCCATTTCCTTATCACAATGATGATGGGTGTTCCCAAAATGGACCTCAATTGTAATTTATTATTACTGACCTGATGAGAAAGATGGTGCTTTGTTCTCAGCAAGAAAGGTGAGATGGCAGTGCACTCTTTCAGGATAAATCCTGACTTGGTCAGATTTCTAATGGTTTGAGGTCTTTCTTTTAATAGTCCCCCAACTAGTACTCCATAGACCAATCAGAACAAGCTTTTCACATAAGGAAACTTAACCATCTGTCCATGCTGTGCACAAAGTGCGAGCAACAAGCCCCAAACACACGGGTCGTGTCAGCCACGCTTGCTGTCCAAGCCATCGCACAGAGGGCCTCTGCTGGTCAGGGCACAGTCCAACCCAGACTCGCTTTAGGTCAAATGTTTTATTGTGTTTCACGAGCTGCCACTAAATCATCAATTGAGGCAGCTTTGGAGACAGAATGTCACCATTATTTATTACTTGCTTTCAGCATGAATCTACTATATTTATGTCCCTCGAGATAACTTTCCCTTATGAAATTCTAGCTCAATGCAGGAAGCTAAATCTAACATTTAGTTCAGCCCTGAGGAGTCCATTTCCAGATGGATCATCAAGACTCAATGAGATCTAACAACCGGTGTGAGGCTGCAGTGAGAACACCAACTGTCCTCAGCCAACTGGCACAGGTGTCTCCTGCGGGTCTCCTTTCTCTGCAGAGACCTTTTAGCTGCACTGCGTGTCTCTAGGCCACAGTTCCCCCTCCATCGTTCCTCCCCTCAGAGAGACCTCGCTGAGAGCCTGGGTCCTTGCCTCACCGTCTGGATAAACACTGCTAAGAAGGCCCAAGGCAGCCTTTCCCCACCATACTTGGCCATCCTTCGGCTGGACCTTTACTGACGCTAGAAGGGTGGTTCTGGAGACTGAGCAAGACACTTTCTCTGGCATATAAAAACCAGCCACCCTTAAGTTACCAAGATGAACCCTGGGGGCTCTGAGAGACATGAAATACACAAGCAAAGGGCACCTGGGGCTATCTGCCTCAGAACTACATCTTCTGTGCCCCATGAACGTGTTCTGTGCTCCAGAACACAGCACAAACAATGGAACACATGAGACCCTCAAGTGACACGGCCAATTACCTGCGAATCAACTCTTCCTCCTATAAAATTAAAATTTACTGTTGAAATATTTCCTCTTTGGAATATGATACAGAAAAAAACAAAATGTGTCCTCAATACACACTTATTAACAGACCCAAAAAGCAACTTTGACATAATCCTTATTTCTATATGATCTAAATCAATCATGAAATTCTCAACTTTGAAAAAAAAAAAAAAGCTGGGAAAAGTAGAGCACTCTCAACAGCATTTACTTGTTATTTACTCAGTGAATATTTACTGACCCTCTTCTATGCTCCAAGTGCTGTGGCATCTAATTCTCTCATTTTATTGATTAAAAAACCAAGGCCCTGTGCAGTTCAGTGCCTACCCTAATAACCAGCTAATTCAGGGGAGCATGGTTGGGCCAGAATTCAAATTGTCAAGGCTCTTTGCAGTCACCCCAAGCTGTTTCCAACCTGTGAAGTCAATTCACCTTAGGACAGGCCTTAAAAAAGATCAGGTGCCTCTGTGGGGTTGGGGCAGCCCCTTTATGGCGTCATCAAGCTAAGAGCTTTAGCACAGTGACTTGGCCACTGTAGGTACCCAAGAAGTATTTGTGGAATGATTTGTTACAAAGAACCAGAAGGAAAAATGCTGCAGCTGGAAACCTGAAGAGCCAGCAACCTTGCTTCCTGTTTGGCACTTCGATGTGGAACATGCTGACCCGTTTGCAAAGTGCATAAACTGCCAGCTCTCAATTTTTCTAAGACATCAGTGTTTCTTACTCTGGGATTTTTAAAAGGTTTGAAATCTCTGAGGTCTAAATCTTTGTTCTGAAATACTTTTAGTTTTCTCTCCTACATGGTGAAAAAGCGTGAGCACAGTGTGGGCAGGTTCCAAAGCTAAGCTCATGGAAGAAACCCTGGGCATGCAAAGGTGGACCATGCCTCTCTTCAGGAGGAATCCCTCCCAGGTGGCACAGGCAGACATGTTGCAAGGAAGCTCAAGACAGAGTGGATGCGCAAAGTGAGCTGCTGACCTCTTTCTCCCTCTCTGATCTTCTAGGGTTCTTCCTAGCCTTTCTTCTCTGGTTATTCTTATTTTTTTCTTCCATCATGCCTTTTACTGTGGCCACAGGGTCCTGTACTATTTCTGAGGTGGGGGCTGTGTGACTGCTTACTGACCAATCATAGACAGCATCAGGGCTCCAATGAGCATTGACAGGATTGGCGGGAAGCAAGAGCGAATTTGCTCCTGGAGTTGCATATTCTAAAGAACTGGTTTCCATGGGTTCAAATTCATAATAATCCCACTCCAGGCCACTGGAGGTCATTCTTCAACTAATTCTCAGTCTTTACCATGACATAAAGAACAGTATCTGTAGAATATGAAGTTAGGAGTAAATTCTTCATAACATTAACATTCTCTATTTCTACCCATCATCCAAGAGAGGTAACTTCTGAAATAGTTTTTTCCAGTAATTAATCTCCCAGCTTTCTCAAAGAACACCCATAAAGAGTTTTCTTCCTCGTATTCTGCATAAGTTTCAAGGCTGATCATCAACAAGCATGGTAAATACACAGAAGACAGACATGAACCATATTCTGGTAGATGCATTACTTCAGAACTAGTGAAGATCAATTCCACCTTCTCCATTCCCAACTGTTTTTATACTGTTTTGTTGTGGTGTTTTTATTTTGTTTTGTTTTGATTTATCTGGGAGAAGCAATGTATGCATTGTCTGTTTAGGGCAGAAAAGATGCAAGAAAATAAAGAATTCCAATATATGAAAGAGGGTGTTCCTGCCTAAAAGTAGAGCTGGCTCTCCTTCTGCTGACAGTCTCACCTTGGCTACCCTGTGAGAACTCCTGCCTGTTTTACTTCCTACCTTGTCTGATATAAACAGCAGCAGTTCTAGGAGTTAGCATGGCCCTCACTGCATGAGAACACAGTGATACCTGGGGCTCAGGACCCGAGGCAGGAGTACTGGTTGGGATGGCTTAGCATGCCTGGCACTGCAGCCCTGCCACCGTGGCAAGCAAGGGCTTTAATTATGCAAAAAGAAGACAAAATGCATCCCAACATGTCTGCAGGAGCAACTCAATGCCCTGCCTTTTCTGTGGTCAGAATCTCTTCAATCTCCCTGTATTTTTGCTCCTGTCATCTAAGAGTATGATATAATCACGAATGTTATGATGGCTACAATGCAGGAAAATAAAAAAGTATTATGACCCAAGGTAGAAATCAACAGCTTAAAGCTAAATCAGCATCTTTTGAAAATAACATCCTTGATGACCCAACAGGTTCCAAATATAACCAGAGGTTATGACACTGGACAGCCTTCTGCCCATGCACAAAACAATGACATATTTAATAGTTATTTCTTTGCAAATGCTGTCCTTCTCACTTGTGTGTTTGCCAAGTTTTAGGACATTACACAGAGACCCAAAGAAACGAAAGCACTCTGGTAAACCACAGCCTAGCACTCCTGAGGGTCTGAAATTTGATAACACTCTGTAAATATAGTTATTAAAGGTGAATCTGGAAGAGGTTACAATAAGTGCAAATGCTCCAAGATTCTGTGTTCCTCACAAAAGTTATTATTTCTTAAGAGTCCTACCACACAAATTAGAGTTAGAAACAGAATTAGCTTCTGAAAACAGTTTCCAATTACATTATCATAGGACTATTTCCTAATAGCTCCTTGGAGGACAATTTACATAATCTTGTCCATATCCCCTTCTTAGAGAATCCACCTCTTCCAAAGACCCCATGGGGCAGCCCTATTCACTATGGGACCCACCCAGCCACTGCTGATGGACTCAGGAATGGATGCTTGACCCCAAAGGAGCCAATGGGAGTCTCTCTCTAGATAATCTGAACTAAGAGACTCAGAGACTGAGTCTGAATAATGGTACAGGACCAGAGTGAACTCGTTCTAGATGCCTCCTTTTTCTTGGATTCCATGAGATAAGTCTCCATTTTTTTCTGTGAATAGGTCCCCCCCCGCTTTTTTTTTTTTTTTTTTGGTGAGGAAGATTGGCCCTAAGTTAACGCTTTTGCCCATCTTCCTCTATTTTGTATCTGGGATGCCACCACAGTATGGCTTGATGAGTGGTGCATAGGTCCGCGCCCGGGATCTGAACCCATGAACCCCGGGCTGCCGAAGCGGAGCGCGTGAACTTAACCACTATGCCACCAGGCCGACACCTGAATAGGTCCTTTTTAACTAAACATACACTAGCTAAGAGAAATCAAGATGAGAAAAGGAAAATAATTACGTTTTTAAGCCCCACCTTTTCTCCAATGGTAAGCTTGGTCAATGACACACACTTCCAGCAGGACTGGCCTACACTCACTCATGTGTGTATGTGTGTGTGTGGTGTGTGCGTGGTGTGCTCCTTCATACTGAGACAGGACACAGGCAAAATGCTGTTCAAGGCTCTGCACTTGAATAATACTAGATGGGAAATGAACCATGATGGGAAAACCACCCCACACTCCCAAATTCTAACTTGCTACTGAGAATGGGTCGCAGAGCAGGTCTTCAAGAGGACGTTCTTCCTACCATGGGGACCAAGATGGAGCTAAAAAGTGCTGGGAGAGCATTTACTACCCTCCTACCTCATAGCTGGTTACATGTTATACGGTGGATTTCTAAGCAGACAAGCTCCCCTCCCATAGAATGATGGCTTCTACTCACATCATCCTGGACATCGAGGTCGCAACCAGCCTTCAGCAAGATCTGGACCACAGAGAGATGGCCCTTATTCGCAGCAAGATGCAGGGGAGTCCGGCCATGCTGTTAATACAAAGCAAACACTGATTTCAGAACAAGACATCAAAACCACTCCCCTGGACCGGGGAGGGGGCCTAGAGCAAGATTTGCACAGTGGCACTCCCCCCTCCCCTTCAGTTTGGCAGAAAATTCTTATGGATTTACCCAAATTCAAATCTGTCTCAGTTAACCTTGGCTACTGGCATTGTAATGAATAAACAAGATATGCTTAAAATGTGAAAATTTCCTTTAGTGCATAATTTCTACTCCCCACTTATCAAACTAGCAAGTAGGAAAATGAGGGGTTTCATGTCGTCTCTTATTTTCCCACTGGTGCTGATACTCAGGGATGATGAAGTGGCCGCAATGAATCTGATGGGGCAAGACATGGGAGAACAGCAAAACGTCAGGCTAATCAGCCCCAGAAAATCTGGTTAGTAATTACTCAAAATTAAAACTGTTGGCCAGGTGCCGGCCTGGTGGCGCAGCGGTTAAGTGCGTGCGCTCCGCTTCGGTGGCCTGGGGTTCGCAGGTTCAGATCCCGGGACGCGCACCGACGCACCGCTTGTCAAGCCATGTTGTGGCGGCATCCCATATAAAGTAGAGGAAGATGGGCATGGGCACGGATGTTAGCCCAGGGCCAATCTTCCTCAGCAAAAAAAGAGGAGGATTGGCATCGGATGTTAGCTCAGGGCTGATCTTCCTCACACACACACACAAAAACGGCTGGCCGAACTGGTTAGAAAAGGTTCTCCCTCTTTTTAAAAACAAATTTTGTAATTAAAAAATATTTCAGCCATTCAAAAATATGAATAATATTTTAAAATGTATATACCCACCAATTATTTTAAGAAAACATTAGAGAAATCACAGCCGTTCCTTGTGAACCCCTCCCAGATCTCATTTCCCCTCCAACCCAGAGGTCACCACTCTTAAATTTGGTATTCAGCATTCCTTTGCCTTTTATTATATTTTACTAAGTTCATAGCCATAAACAATATGTAAACATTGTTTTGCTTGTTTTCAAACCTTACATAAATGGTATTAAACTGTACAATATGGTTTGGCAATTTTTTGGTCCAATATTCTATTTTTGAGAGTTTTTTCATATTGTCACATGTCGTTCCAGTTCATTTATTCACTATTCATCCACTCCCCTACTGATGGGCACCAGGTTGTTTCCAGAGGTTTGCAGAACACATTGGTGGGCACATTTCCTTGTGCACCTGAGAAGGCTTCTTAGTCCCACTACTGGATCACAGAGACCACCTTCCCTTCAACTGCCCTAAGCACCTGGGCTCCTGAGGTACGACACTGAGGATGACACCCAGAATACCCCTCTCGCCAAACTGTGAATTCTCTGAATAACTGACCTTGCCAAACTCTGAATTCTCCAAATTGTAAAGGAGACAGGATGTTCCCTTTACTTTTTGCCTCAAGTTCACCGTGAAGAAATGTTTCCACCCTCTGCTTTAAACATCATTTAACCAGGGCCCCCACTCATGCTGAAACACACCCCTGAGGAATAGAGTCTTACGTGGCCTCAAGTCCTTTTTAGCATCTCAATAAAATTTCCCATAGATCTTTACTGTTATTCTAGCAGGCTAAACCCGTTTATGATCTCAATAAAGTGCCAGTTTGCCATGGGTAACTAGCCATGGAGGAACATAGAGATAGCAGACAATAAAAGATCTTAATTTCTATCCATGAAATGCAATCAAAGCACTAGAATGAATCTGGAAAGAAAGAGGTCAGAGCTCACTTTAAAATTAGAATTCTTAATTAAGAAAAATGTTACTCCCAAGAAAGCAGGCTATAAAAAGCCTTCATAAAGAGGCAAGGTCTGAGATGAGATGAAGGAGTGACCTTCCTTGGCTGGCAATTGTGCTCAGCATGTGCTACTTAACCTTGATTCTTTAAATGAAATGTCCACAGCGGATCAGATGGAGCAAAATAACAGGGTTCCGCTCACTGGGCCTGTCCCAGGCTCCATCTGTCATCATGTGTCCCTGTCAAGGACATCGGATAAGTGACATTCACGAAGTGTCTAAGGCATTCCGAAACACAGGCAAGTTCACCACATTTGTGAGAAGACAGATGTGTGTGCTGTGAGAAGGGAAAAAGGGTGGTGGGACACGAGTGCTTTTGAGCAAGTGGAAAATACGGACCATGATGGGGAGACGCTGCCCAGAGAGAGGCTGGAAAAGAGGCCACAGGCCGAGGAGTCACTGGGTGTGTCGGGTCAGGGGAGCCCTGAGGAACGTCCTCGTCAGCAACCAGATATTCCTGGTTGGAAGCTGAGGCCCAAGGAGGCGAAAGGTTTGCCCACGTGAACACAATCAGAAGGCAGGAGAAGGAAACGCTGCTGTGTTTCAAACCAGGTCACATCCGGGAGGGCGCTTGGAAACTATAAATTACTAACAAGACGACCCTGGACCGGAGGCACCTTCTTACCCAAGGTCAGCAGAGAATCCCCTCTGTGGAGAAAGGAAAGGCCAGAGGCATTGGAGCCCGACCAGCCCAGTTCAAAGCCCAGCTCTCACTAGGAACACCTGTGTGATTTTGTGCTCGACCGTCTCCTAAGTCCATTTTCTCATCTGTATATAGAAAGAGCCGCCACTACCCACACGCTCCATAGGCTTGAAACAGCATAAATGAGGTAACATCTACCACCTAACACGGGGTTCCCTTCCTTCCAGCTGTCCTCAGCCCTCACCCCTGAAGACACCCCAATTGTTCCCTCTCCTCCTTGACACGCCTGCGCCTTTGTCTTAGCAAAGACCAGAGAGAGATTTTCAATGGCAAACAGACCCATGTGAGGAGCTGGATCTCAGATGACGTGGAGAGCCAGACGGGCCTAGCTGGAGGACTGAGGTTCCTGATCCAGCCAGTCCTGATCTGCTCGCCCACTTCCATTTCTGTAATATAGTCCAACGCTCTACATCTGCATGTCTCTGCTGAAGGGCCTTCTTTACCAGAAACTATGCCTTCTCTGGTTCTCCAAGAAGAAACGTTCCCAGCCTTGTCTTCTCCACTCTCATGGCACTTCATCTCCCTCTTAGGAAATCACTCAATTCTGTTTTGAGTGTCATCCTGGGTGCTAGCTTCTCCTTCCAACTAGGCGGTAATCTCCCTGAGGGCAAGACTGTGCCTCCATGAGTGATGAAACAAGTTGACTCTGGGGTGGTGTGGGGGCCATGTCAAACAGGTCCCAGTGTTCCTCAACCACAGGGCAGGCTGGGGCTACCAGGGACATGGAAGCAAATTCTACAGTTCCAGGCTTGACCTCAGAGAAATGAAGAGCCTGGGATGGCTGCAGACTCCAGATTCTGGGATGTCTTGGCCCCTCTGAAGATGTGTAGACATCCTGGGGACTTCACACGCATTTAAGCAGCTCCAATAGTGACACTGGGGCTTCTCTGAGGAGGGCCAGTGTCCCCCCTCACATGCCTGGCTCCTCTTCTGGCATCTGGTAAAACTACAGCAGTAGCAAAGACAGCAGTAATCAGTTTCCCAGCAAATCTGAAGTTGTCCACTCCTGTCCCCTGGGCCTTCCTAACACAAGACCAACCCCTCATATACACATACAGACACGCACACACGCACCACCTGCCAAAGGAGAAGAAGAGCAAGAAAGAAGGAGAAATGTACTTGGTTTTCCAGAACATTCTGTCCTGAAAAGCAACAAAAGCAGAGCCATTCAAGGGAGTAACTACTCCCACCCAGCACACAGGGAAACCCCAAAGTCATGCCTGGTAAATGGGGAAGGCTGCAGCCACCCTAAGTTTGAGGGGGCAAATAAAAACTGATCCTTAGAGGGGTCTGTGAATGACTTCGACTCAAGGATACAACTGCTGTCATCTCCATGCCCCTAGAGTTGGCCAGCGGAAGAAATGGAAACAGGAGAAAAAACTATGTACTATGAATGATAAGAAGGAGAAGGTTTTTGTTTTTTTTTTATTTTTAAAATTTTATTTAACGTGGCAACCCCTGATCTGTTCTCCATCACTGTAGTTTCGCCTTCTCAAGAATGTCATAAAAATAGAATCACACCGTTTGAAACATTTTGAGACTGTCTTAGGTGTATATTTTCCCATGTTTCTTGGATTCTGTGTAGCTGGTCCAGAGCTCACAGGTTAAGGAGACATTGCTCCAGAGCCACACTGTTTCGGTTGGTGGAAAATAAATGGTTTAAGACTCTGGATTGTAATGACGTCCTGGCTCCACCATTCATCTGACCTTCACAACTGAGAGTCCTTCCAAACCCTGCCACCCTGGCTGCCAACCCAGCTCTGGTATACCCTGGGACCAGCAGCTGTTTGCTTCTTACCATGCGATACACTTCGAGGAAGAAGGTTTTGAAGCATCAATTTGTCCTGGGCTCTTCCGCAGTTCAAAGACCAATTCAACTCAACTCAGCCCAGGCCCTGGTGAACCCATAGAGACCAATAATAATGAGGACAAGAGCAAGAGACAGCAGCTAACATTTACAGGACACTTACCACATGGTAGGCACAATCTTAAGAATTTTTCATGTATTAGCTCATTCAATCCTCCCAATGATCCTATGAGGTAGGCACTATTAGTAAGCCCATTTTACAGATGAGGAAACTGAGGCATGGAGAGACTCACTTGTTCTATGTCATACAGCAGGTAATTCAAGTCTGGATTCACCCCTACGTCATCTGACCCCAGCCCCCATGCTCTGACCACCACTCTACCTGCTGCCCACCTGCTGAGGGGTGAGGATCTCCCCAGCAGAGGGGCTCCATGTCTCACTCTCAGGAAGCTCCTAAGACCCAGATGCTGACCTCTGGGGTTGCTCGGAAATAACCCAGTTTCCTTAGAATCTCAAGGACAAGGAGAGAGGTTTTCCATTCTCACTGCCCATCTGAATCAGCTGGGGAGGTGGTTCTGTTTGTCTATCCACCTACACTGATGCCTGGGTCTCTCCTCCAGGGTTTCTGACTCAACTCTCCGTGGTGGGGCCCAGGCATCAGTTGCTATCCACCCTCCCCAGGTGA